AGGCTCGTTCGACTGCGTCGAATGTCGGAGTCGACTCGTTTTCTGCGGCAATTTGCAGACATCGATGTCCTTGTCGAATGATCGGGCGCGCGCGAACAATCCGTTGCTATCGAGGTGCCATTTCCACATGCGCTGAAACTCGAACTGTATCAGCGCAGGTTCGTTTCGCCTCGGACGACCTGAAGCGTCGAGTTTTAATCGGACGGCTGTCGTAGATCGTCGATGGCGCAACTCCAAGATTCGTGGCGAAGTTGGAAATTCTTGGAAAACGCTGCAGGGTAAATTCTAGCGGCTACCGTTGATCATTTCGGAGGGCAGAAAATACTCCAGATTTTAATGCATGTACTTCGGAGACGTCCTCTCAATGGCGAGGGTTGCTGACGTATGCCCCCCCCCCCCCCCCCCCCCCCCCCCCCCCCCTCCGAAAATTCGGTTCCGTCGATGCTAAAAATCGAACGGTTGACGATGCCACTCGCCATTGATGGGGACCCTAGGTGCAACTGTTCGAGGTTAGTCGGAACTTCGTAAGAAAAAAATGGATTTACCTACGCGATTAGAAAGTTTGACTCCATCCTCGGCGTGCTCCTAGAGGCTTAGCGGGAAGCGTTAATCGGAAACCTTGTGCTCTGATTAGCAAGTGTCACACGTCCAGGATTTAGCGGAAGCTTGAATGATACGTATCAAGAGTTGAATGACTACACGCAAAGAGTCAATGCTATTTATACCTACGAGAACTCTAGGGAAGGGAAACTAGGTCTTTCTAAGAGAGTTCTAGAAATGAGTGGAAGCCTCCGTAAGAACACCATCTAGAAGCACTGTAGGGATTCTAGAGATACGATGACAGTGACGGAACACTCCACGCAATGGAAAACGTGTCACGCAAGGAAAGTCCGAAACACATATTAGATAGAATATATCAATGTGTAGGGGAATAGTGTAGGGATTTCTAGAAAATGAAAAACACACAATAAATAGCAAATAGGAAATGCTTGTGATCAAGGATTCGGCAAGTCTGATCCTCTCATACAGTCCAGTTGGCCGTTGTTGAGAGGACTTCATGCGCTGGCAGGTCGGGCACGTTGAACCGTATCTCTGCACATCAGATGCCGAATCTGGCCATGAATAAAAGGGTGAAGTAATTTCAGGGTTTTATCTACCCCGAAATGACTGTAGAGGTTAGAATTATAGACTTCTTGAATCAGTAATTCGCAGAGGAGTTGGTAAGCGGGAACCCAGATGCGGTCAGAGCCAGCTTTTAGGAATTAAAATCTCTTGGCCGTGGTAGCTTGCTAGTAGAGGTTGCGACTGAAAAAGGGATCGGTGCTGTAGCTGTGGGTAAATAGTCCGGTGAGAAGCAGGTTGGATTTTGCAATGATGACGGAGGCGAGGTGGGCGGACAGTTGTGTCAGTGCATCGGCAATGTTATTCGCCCCACGTTACGTAATCGTGTAGTGGAAATTGCTTTCGAGGAAATCCAGCCCGCGAATCTGTTGTGGGTTGAGGTTCGGCTGCGCGCGGAGGTATTGTAGAGATTTGTGGTCTGTCCGTACTGTCACATCAGCTCCTGTCAGATAGCAGCGCCACACCTTGAACGCATGTATGATGGTGAGCATTACTTTGTCATGGACGGGGTAGTTGCGCTCAGCTGCCTGCAACTTTCTGGGCTCGTACGCGATTGGTTGGAGTCTGTCTCCGAAATCCTGTAAAAGTATCGTGCCAATGGCAAAATCACTAGCGTCCATCAAGTCTTTGAACAATCGAAATGGATCAGCGATTCGGAGGACCCGGGGTGACATTAGAAAAATTCTGAGTTCATAAAAAACAGGCTGCTATCTCTCCCCCCACTCAAACGAAGTGCCCTTCCACAACAGGTCAGTTAAAGGTCCGGTTGTCCCTGCCATATTGGGGATAAACCTCCTGACGTAATTAACAAACCTGAGAAAACTCAGCAGCTCCTGTAAATTCATGGGCGCCTTCCAGTTACGGATGGTGGTGATCTTCTTCATGTCGGTTTTAATGTCGTCCACTCCAATGACGTGTCCCAAAAATTCCAGTTCGGGTTTCAGGAACTCGCACTTAGAGCCTTTGGTGATGAGCCGGTTCTACTGCAACCATTGAAAAATATTGTGTCGAGGTCTTTGAGGTAATGTTCCTGTGTCTTGCTGAAGATCAGAATGTCATCCCGATAGACGATGGCACACTTGTCGAGTAGATTTATGAACACGCCATTTACGGTCAGCTGGAATGTAGAGGGCGTGCTCGTGAGGCCAAAGGGCATCACTGTGTACTCGTAGCTGCCGTAGCAGGTTCGGAACGCTGTCTTGTGGCAATCGTCAGTGAAAACTCATATCTGATGGTAACCACCTCGCATGTCAATTTTGGAGAAGAAGCGAGCCCTGCGAAGTTGATCCAGGAGACCGTCTTCTCATGGGATTGGGTAGCGAGACTTGATTGTCTGTCGATTAAGCACCCTGTGATCAATTCATATTCAGAGCCCTCCGTTTTTTTTTTTTTTTTTTTTTTGCGTGAATCGAATGGGCGCTGTGAACTGGGACGTGCTTGGACAGATGAATCCTCTCTCCAGTAGGTAATCCAACTAGCTCTGCAACTCCATGAGTTCGGGCTGAGTCAATCGACACTGTATTCTGACGGTTTGCTGCGCGTCAGGTTCCAGGTCGAACTTGTGGTCCTGGGAGTGCTCAGATGGCAATCCGGCTTGTAGGTCATCCGGAAAAATATCCGGGTACCGACAAATCAGCGCAGTGAGCTCAGCAGGTAAACTGGCACACAACGTGTCGATGTCCCGTGGCGTGTCGTCAGTCGTTGCTGCATGGAGATGGATGGCATACACATCAGTTCCCCTTTTTACCGCTCGCTAGAGCGTGATGGCGTTGACACGTGTCGACACCGGATCCCGACTGTGCCAACAGGGAAGTGCGCGTCACCCGTTCGCACAGTTCACGCTACATTCGTCAGTTGTATAGTCGATTCTTGGGTTGTATTTTCGCAGCCAATCGCGTCCGAGAAGGATGTCGCAGCCATCTAGCATCGTCGCCAGCATGGGCATGCTGAATCCAAAATCGTCGCCACATTTTATCCGCACCATGCGCGCTCGCTCCCGAATCGCAAGTGGAGTCCCGTCCACCGATCGCGTGTCAAATTTGGAGAGGCACTTCTCCAATGTCAGCTTCAACTGCTTCGCTGTTGTCACGTGAATCAGGCTGTGACTAGCCCCGCCATCCATAAATAATTTTTTTCTTAACCATTCACCTTGCCTTCGACCAGCACAGGGTGATCTTCAGGTTCGCCCCTGATATTTGTCCGAGTGCGGTCGATAGCATGTATCGGTACCACAACTTGGTGGGAACGCTGAAGTTCGAACGACAAAGCCTTGTCAGTAGGGGGTGTGTCTGCTACTGACTTTTTCCATTTCCCGGCTTCTCCTTGTCGTTCTTAGTCTTCTTAGTCTTCTTAGGCGCCGTCGGGCAGTACTTAGCTCGGTAACCTGGCTTGTCACACCTGAAACATATCCCGTGAAATACTTCATCGGGAGCAAACACGCCATTGATCGTGGGGCGAGGAGACTGTCCACAAATATGACCAACATCCCTGTTGTTCTTCTTCGCCCACTACTGCAGTGCATCAGCTGCTGACGCCAGCTGGACAGCTTCATCGAATGTCTTGGGCTGGGAGCGCTGCAACTCGTACTGAATATCAAAATGCAGCTCGCTGATGTATTTGTCCCGCTTTTCCGCAAGTGCCGAGAACGACGTAGTGTAATGTTGAACAGTAGCCACCTGCCGCCAGTTGCGCAGCTTCATGCGAGCGTCGTCTGAGGCGGATGATTGCTCAAAACGAGCTCGCTGAGCTGTGCCCCACTGCTTCCACGTGCAAATCATGGTCGTATAGAATATCGTTTCTGTCTGTTGGTTGGAGGAATCTGAAGTCTCGTCCTTGTCGGAGTCCGAATCACCAACGGATGTCGCCACCAATCCAACGCCGGTCCTCGGAGCAGCAACACGGCATAATTAATGGGCGCGTCGTCCACGTTGACACTTGCAGCCGTGAAGAATAACTCCATGTTGAACAGCCACCCTTGCACATTTGTCGCCTTGTCAGAAGGGTTAAACGTTGGTGGCGTGGCTGGCTTGAGTTTAATATTCGTGACTATCATAGTGCGCACGTCTTCTTGCTCCATTTCTCGTATGAGCTCGTCAAGGACGGTCTCGCTCGCCACGTCATTGGCTTCTGGCTTGACATCATTCTCTCCAACCCCGGGCGACTCCTGACGCGCTTCACCATGCGTCTGGCGAAGCTCAGTGTTCTCCATCCGAAGTCTCACAACTTCACTGTTGAAACTCGCCATCTGGGCTTGCATCGCCTGCATCTGAGCCATGACCTCGTCTACCTGGGCCTGATTCATGATGCGAATGCTGCGCCTTTCGGGCAGGGGGAAGGCCGTGGTAAGAAATTGCAGGGGGCGCAAATGCTGTCGTAGTTGTGTGAGCTAATTACTCTAGCTCACGAACAACCGCTTTGCAGCCCCGCTGGGTTAACCACGCCTCGGGAATAAATTACCCTGAGAAAGCGGGGTGAACCAGGAAAGTAGCTCTGATACCAGATGTTATGAATAATAACTGAGTGCGAGGAATCATCATGACGAGTACAAGAATGGGAGCCTAGCACTATATAGCGAGAACTCTAGCTAGGCGACGAGCCCGGAGGGCTGGGTTGGGTACAGGCGCGGTCGAAAGGGCCGGAGGCAGCGCGAGCCAGCCTCGGGGTTGCGTCGGAATCGGACCGAGCCTGGTCTTCCAAGAGTTCGGGTGTACACGGTTGAAGTACAACCCAATAAGGAATAAAATTCCTTACACGAGAATTCAGAGAGAGTCCACCATGTGGGGTGCGGGGCAGTCTATAGGGGGGTTATTTTCCCTCTCCATCCATCCATCGAGGCTCTCCCGTAGCTCAAAAGCGTTGCCTGCCAGTGGTTCGACGCCCTGGGGACTCGAGGTGTGCAATTGGTTCGGGAGTTGGCACGGCCATAGTGGCTACTACAGCGGGTGCCATCGTGCCAGGGTCGGCGCTTCAAGCCCTTCCAATCGTGCGAAACCAGGCCGGCTCTCTAAGACCTTAGCAGGGGGCGCCGTCGCTCGTCTAGTCGTCACCGTCGCTCATATCGTCGCCTCCGTCGCTCGTCTCGCCGTCTTTATCCGCCATTGCTCTCGCTATAGTCACCATCTCCCGGACCTGGACACATCAGTCACAGAATCCGCCGCCAGACTTTCATTGCGATCGTCGCCAGGTCACTTCGCTAGCGTCGCCCAACTCTCTTCGCTAACGCCACCGACTGTCTTCGCGATCTTCGCCAGGCTCTCTTCGCGAGCGTCCCCAGCACCCTTCGCGACCGTCGGGATGGCGAGTCAGCGAACAGTGACGACGGTGATCCGGCTGGTGATCAACGCGGGCCAGGCCAAGCCCGCTCCGCCCGTGGGACCAGCTCTCGGCCAGCACGGTCTGAACCTGATGGCGTTCTGTAAAGACTTCAACGCGCGCACGCAGCACATCAAACCCGACGTGCCGGTTCCGGCGCTCATCACGGCCTACTCGGTGAGTGCCTGTGCTGCTTGCCGGGCTCTCTGGTCTGTAGGTGCCCTCCCCATATCCCAGCACGGGGGTAAAGCTCATGGCGTGCTGCAAAGACTTGAACGCGCGCACGCAGCACGTCATGCCCGACGTGCCTGTCCCCGCCCTCATCACGGCATACTCGTTGGGTGCCTGTGCTGCTTGCTGGCTCCTCTGGTCTGTAGGTCCCCTCCCCCCCATAGCCCAGCACGGGCTGAACCTGATGGCGTGCTGCAAGGACTTGAACGCGCGCGCGCAACACATGAAGCCGCATGTGCCCGTCCCCGCCCGCGCTCATCGCCGCGGACTCGGTGATTTTCAGCGCTTCTTACTCCCTCCCACCGATTCCAACCGCGCGCAACACTGCCTGAACCCCCGCCCATGCTCATCACGGCCTACTGGCTAATCCCACCCCCCTCCCCCTCCCCCTCCCCCCTCGGTCAGTCCCAGTCCTCCTCCCTGGCCATTCCTCCCTGGCCATTCCTCCCTGGCCATTCCTCCCTGCACCTAACCTCATGGCACTCTGCAAGGACCTTCCTTGATGAGCGACCTTTGAGTTGACTCAAAAGTTACCATGGCGCCTAAGTGGTTTTCGCTCTGAACCTCACCTCATGGCGCTCTTGTTCAGTGACATTCGCACGCGGCACACCAAGCCAGACGCGCCTATTCCCCTGCTCCGATCGCCGCGCTCTGTTCTTTAAAACTCTCAAAAGCAAAACACTCGATAAGTGCCTGCGCTGCTTTCTTTGCTCATGTGGGCTTCGGATGCCTGATTCCCACCACCCGTGTTCCGCACTGACTACTTGGTAAGTCTCGTCGCTTCTTCTGCCTCTAGGTGGTTTATTCCCATCAGCAGCGCTGCTAGCAGCAGTGCTCTTACTGATATGCCTTCACTGTCTAAGCGTCTTCTCCTCTCCCATGGGACTCCCAGCATGAGGAGTCTATTTTTGAGGCGCCTCAAAAATAGACTCTAAGCATCGTCGCCTCTCCCATGGGACTCCCATCGCCTTCTGGGTCCAACAAAAGATGCAAGCCTCTCACGTGCATCGCTCTCATGCGGAATCTGTTCTGTGGTAATCGTTGAAGCGATTGCTGGCTAGTTCAGCGTTCAGCAGCAGCATAGCACTAGTTGAAAGTGCAGAGTTCCGTGCTCAAGGGCAGATCTGGACTGGACCCACCCACTTGCAAGCCACGCACTTGCACTCTTCTCCCAGTGCACTCTCCTCATCACCGCTTCCTTTCCCATGCCAGGTCCTCCTTCTCCCCTCACCTCTGTTCTCCTGCCCCACTTCCCCCCCTCCCCCTCTTCTTCCCCCCCCTTCTCCCCCGGTCTTCAGGACCGCTCGTTCGACTTCATAATCAAGTCCCCCCCCACGTCCTACTTCCTGAAGCGGGCAGCAGGACTGAACCTAGGGGGCGGCGAGGCGGGCCACCAGGTGGCAGGCGAGGTGTCCTTGAAGCACGTGTATGAGATCGCCAAGATCAAGCAGCAAGACCCCGGGTGCAGCTACATCCCCTTGGAGTCAATCTGTAGGTCGATCATAGGGACGGCTAGGTCCATGGGGATTCAGGTGAAACGGTCGATTGAGATTCCCAGCAGCAGCAGTTGATCGGAGTACCAGCAGCAGTTGACCGGAGGAGTAGCAGTAGCAGGAATTCCTATGGAGGCCATCGGTCAGTCGATCCTAAGGACCATGGGGGTTCAAGTGAAGCGGTCGACTGAGGTTCCCAGCAGCTGCCGTTGATTGATCGGAGTAGCAGGAGCAGGACTACGGGTGCAGCTATATAACGTTGGAATTGGAATAGAATTGTCGGTTGGCGGTAGGGACTGCTAGGTCCATGGGGATCCAGGAGAAGCTGCCGTCCGTTTGAGATTCCTTCTAGAAGCAGAATCCTGGGTGTAGCCAGTAGGGGTACATTGCATTGGAATCTATCTGCAGTTCCATTGCAGGGCCTGCTAGGTCTGCTGGGAGGGGAGGGGATTCAGGTGACAGGCTGATTTGATTGGGTTGGTTATGGATCATCAGGGTTGGTGTTTCAGGCAAAACGATTCTAAGATTACTATACGCGATGCAGTCCTATTACTGTATCCTCCACAAGCTGAATCGATAGCTGTAAACTACGTGTCAGGGCATGAGCTACATATGGGGGAGATACGCAACCAAGATGTTCCATAACAATGGTTTGTACCAAGATTTTTCATTTATGCAAGGCTATCAGATACCAGCGAAGGTACATACAATTCATGCGAAGAGGCTGACTAGGCCTTCCTCTTTTAGCGGAACTCAGATGAGGAGCTTCTCAATAGCGTCCTGCAAGACGAAAACAGCAGCGAAATGGACTCACTTCATCAGACAAATAACAAAATGCCTAAAATCGCCTGAACGTCGGGCGGGACGTGCGTAATTTTTTTTTTTTTTAAAGGCACGAGAACATATTCAAAGCAAGATGATTACCTTGAGGTTTTGGATCTGCGACTTGAGCTGGCTGCCCTCGTTGGAAGTGACCGAGCACGCGATCACCGGCCGCGACACTCCGCACGCGCGGCCCAGGGCCTCCCGCGACGGCACGAATACATACGGCACGTTCTGGATGGCGGGGGACGGGGGACGCGTGGGGTGGCGACGGATGTTGAGGGAGGGTGCGACAAGGAAGACAAGGAGGCGGATAGGACAAGTACGCAGGAGAAACGAACAGCAAGCTTGCCAACAGCACCAGAGGTATCGAGGAGCCGGAAGATGGTACCTTGTCCTCCGCCAGCAGCGGCAGGTGCAGCAGAATCTCGAGGGGCTCCGCGTCGGCCGCCATGACGACGAACTCCGCAATGCCGCGGTTCAGCGTCTTGGTGGCTGCGCGGACGAAGGAAAGCGGGAAGCGGGCAGCGGGAAGCGGGAAGCGGGAAGCGGGAAGCGGGAAGCGGGCAGCGGGAAGCGGGCAGCGGGAAGCGGGAAGCGGGAAGCGGGAAGCGGGAAGCGGGCAGCGGGAAGCGGGAAGCGGGAAGCGGGAAGCGGGATGCGGAAGACGAGAGAACGGGGGATACGAGGAGCGAACAGACGGTAAGTAATTGCTCGTGCAGATCAATAAGAACACGCACAGGCACGTGACATAAAACCCTGAGGAAAACCCCAGAAACCGCGTAAACCAGGCAGACATTGACTGCAAGCCTGGATCCGAGCAGACTTCTGAGTCGACTCAAAAGTCAGCTCAAAACCCAAAAGCCGCATAAAGCCAGGCAGACATGGACTACAAGCCTGGATCTGAGCAGGAGAAGAATGTGAGCCGCATCGCCGGACCCACCTTCATTCGCTCCCTTGCGAAGCTGCTTGTAGTTGGAAGCCTGCTGTACAATATCGAGGATGGTGATGGTCAGCTGAGCATCAGCCAAAGGGTAAGCCTTCGGATTCACAGCCTCAGAGCCCTGCGAGAAGGAAGTACGTAGGGCACGGACGACGAAGAAGTATAAGGCGGCGCGGAAAAACCCCACAGAATCGACTACACGGCGCTTTGTCCCGACGGCAAGATTTTGGGAACGTGCGAAACATGCGAGATTCGAGGAATCCTCTTAGTACAGGAGCGCTTCGTAGAGAAGGAGGAGGAAGCTGCTCACCATGGCTAATCCCTGGCCGTGACCCGGGTTAACTAGGTTCAAATGGTGGCGGAACTGAAGACCAGAAACCCTAGCAGCGCCTATGTGGTGATTTCACGAGGTACAAGGAAGTGAGACTCTTTAGGGTATTGGCGGGCGCATAAATATGGTTGGTTTGGAAAGAGAGGCTCGAGAAGATGCGTTTATTATAATGAAGGGATTGCAGCGAAAGAAATGCCATCCCCTCAAAAACGGCGCTGTATTCAATTATCAATACGGGAGTCGTCGTAGAAAGGTGTACCGTAACAATGCAAGCATTTGCGAAATCATGTTGCAATCCACAGCTGGCTGGTGTCGCCGGGCCGCTCTGACACAAACGGTTGCTGTTGACAAACTCCCTCGGGATTCTCCCCATACCCAGATCAGACCTCCTCCCGCCACTTGGCTCCCTCCAAGCCACCAGGCAGCCACGGGGAATAAAGCGAACCTCTTCCTGGGAGGCCTGGGCGAGCCAGCAAAAAGTGTGCACTCTGCGTTCCAAACCTGAGGAGGTTCGGGTTTCGGTGAAATGGGAGCGTGCCAAATCTTTCAGGATGAGCCGAGCAAAGCACATCCCCTAGGGAACTCCATGCAGAGATGAGCAGGACTAGGAGTTTCCGGACTCTGAGATGTTCAGGCGGACTCATGGATGCTTTGACTCAGGGACTTCATCATCCAGGAACCTGGTCATGGCTGTCCACGATATCAGAGCGTTAGCCAGCGGAATTCTACTGCGCGGAAAGGGTTCCTAGGTAACAATTTGGAAGATAATATGCCTTTTATCAACTACTTTCAAGTAGCTACAGGTTTTGACCATGGCTATGCTTCGTTTTCCCTGACGAACGATAGTGACTAGGCTATTAGTTCAGTTTGTGCGCTTTCCTGCTAGCTTACCAAATCTTCAGGCTTACTTGATAAGTTATTGGAAAACTAGCTTGGAGGTTCTTCAAAGCAACACCATACTATCCCGTACAGCAACAGCGGCAACCATGGTCGCTCCCTCTTCAGTCCTCAGCCTGAAGATGATTCGCAACGCGCCGTGGGGCAGGCAGAAGCAGGGCGAGCCGTCGCCAACCCCAGCGTCTCGCCCGGAACGCATGCTGTACGTTCTTCCGCCGACCTTATAATATTCGAAACGCATCGTGTCCATTCCTTCGCGTTTACTGTGAACAGACGTTCTGACCATGCAACGTGCGAAAGCTCTTACCTGTGGGGTGCTTTTACCCAACGCGCTAGACGGATTTTGGACTGTGATATTCCAGCGAATTGGTTGGACAGAATTGTGCTTAGTCCGCAACCTTGGAAGCTGTGGCATTGTGACGGACATGTGTGTGTGTACATGTGAGCTTGCGAACATGTGCGTTACCACCTGGCGTGTGGCTGACAAACGCGTGTGGCCGACACACGCGTTTACCACGGTTTTGTGACTCGCCTGTGCGTGTCTTCATCCTTCTGTTGATGGTACGCCTCCTCGTGCTGCTGTTGATGGTATGATGACACAATGGAATGATGGCATGATGGTGTGATGACACAATGGAATGATGGCATGATGGTATGATGACACAATGGAATGATGGCATGATGGTGTGATGACACAATGGAATGATGGCATGATGGTGTGATGACACAATGGAATGATGGCATGATGGGATCATGGCATGCGCCATGCATCAGGGACATGTACGGATTCGCGGTTCAGCCACAATACGTGGACGTCTACAAAGCCTACGTGCCAGTTTACCATGTAAGTTGCTTGCTTTTGAGTCGACTTAAAGGCGGTCCAGCCGCAGTACGTGAACGTTTACAAAGCCTGTGTCCCGGTCTGCCATGTAAGTTGCCCTTCTGCTGTCAATCCTTGCACGAAGCCCATGTACCAAGTTGCGAATACCTCCCCTCACCTGACCTGGCCGTCTATGACACCGCGTTTGTTTTCTGCTTGACGAGTGTTCATGGAATGACGTCCGTTCCTGCACCTCCCCATGACCTGGCGTTCCTCCCGGTTCCGTCCAACCTCGCCCCTCTCTTCTCCCTTCTCCCCCCCCCCCCACCACCCCTTCCCTCCCTTCCGTCCAGGACGAGGAGACGGAGCGGTCAGATCGCTGGGACTCGTTCCTCCACTCCCGCGAACTGCCCTCTCCTGACCTTTCTTGTGCTTCTGTCCGTGCTTCTCTCGCCCCCCCTCTTCCCTCCCTTCTGTCCAGGACGAGGAGACGGAGCGGTCAGATCGGTGTTACTCGTTCCTCCACTGCCACGACCTGCCCTTTCCTGACCTTTCTTGTGCTTCTGTCCGTGCTTCTCTCTTCCCCCCCCCTTCCCGCCCTCTCAGGACGAGGAGACAGAGCGGTCAGATCGGTGGGACTCGTTCCTCCGCACCCGCGACCTGCCCTTCCCCCCGCCCTCTCCTGCAACGCCCGCACCACTTGCGGCACAGGGGGAGCAGGAGAGCGGCGCAGAGGGCGGAAGAGGGGCAGAGGTTCCCCCTAGCCAAGGCGCAGAGGAGGGGGCCGCGGAGGGGAGGTTCCGCGCAGCGTTTAGAGAGGAGTTATGGCCGGTTGAGCGAGTTCTGAGGGGTGCTGCTGGAAAAGGCGCTGGGAGCGCAGGTGCCGGAGGAGAGGGTGGAAGGAGTCAAGCAGAAACTGGAGGAGCCGCGGGAAGAGAAGGCGAGACGGGAGGAGCGGGGGGAGGAGAGAGGGGAGGAGAGCGGGGAGGAGAGACGGCAGGAGATAAGGGAGTGAGTGGGAGCGTGGTGACAGAGGAGGCATGGAAAGCGGAGCTGACGTCACTGGTGATGGGCGGCGTTCCCATGAACCTGCGGGGGGAGGTGTGGCAGATCTTCGTGGCCGGCAGGGCGAGGCGGCAGGAGGGCATGTATGAGGCGCTGCTGAGGGACGCGCCCCAGGAGGAGGAGCACGGGCCGAACAGCAGCCTGGCGGAGATCACTGCGCGGATACATGAAAGGGACGCGGAGGTGGCCTGCATCGTGCAGATCGAAAAGGTGTGTGGTAGCCCCCCCCCCCCCCGCCCCAACCCCCCTCGGTTTCTCCTCTTCCTTGTGCTCTTTGTTCCGCCCAATAGTAACCTGGCGGAGACCACTGCGCGGATACATGAACGGGACGCAGAGGTGGCCTGCATCGTGCAGATCGAAAAGGTGTGTGGCAGGCTTCCCCCCTTCCTTGGTCCTACTCGTTCGGCCCAATAGTAGCCCCGTGGAGATCACTTCGAGGGTACACGAGAGGGACGCGGAGATGGCCTGCATCGTGCAGATTGAAAAGGTGTGTGGCAGGCCTCCCGCCCTTGGCTTCTCTTCTCCTCTTCCTTGCTCCACCGAATCGTAGCCTGGCGGAGACCACTGCACAGATCCATGAGAGGAACGCGGAGGGACGGCGCGTGCATTGTGCAGATTGAAAAGGTGTGTGAGTGTGACAGTGTGGTGGTCTTCGACCCGAGAAGGGCCTTTGGCGTTTCCACGCCAAAAGCAGTGACGCCCTACAGCAGCTGCAGATACGTTTGTCCAATCCCTTGCCTCCCACACACACCTACCCCCCCTCCCCCCGCTACCACCGTCCTTGCCCTTGAACATCCCTCCCCTCTTTATCCATGCGCCCTTCAGGACCTACCTCACGCATTCCCCGGCCACCCAGCCATGGATGCCAAGGGCAAGACGGCGTTGCAACGACTGCTGATACATCTGTCCTCTCCTGCCCCTCCCTTTATCTCCTTCTACAACCCCCCCCCACCCCCCCCCCCCCACCACCCTAGGGCCTACTTCGCACATTCCCCGGCCATCCGGCCTTGGATGCCGAAGCAGGGCTCCCTGCAGCAGCCGCTGAGACATCTGTCTTTTTCTGCCCCTTTTTTCCTTCACCATCCCGGCCCCTGCTCTTCCCATCCCTCACACCCCAGGACCTGCCTCGCACATTCCCCGGCCACCTGCCCTGGACGCCAAGGGCAGGGACGGCCAGTGACACCTAGTATGGATAAATCTGTTCTTCCATGCCTTTCGTCCCCTGAGTCTCCCTGCAACGCCCCTGCCATCCCTTTCTGTCCCTTCCCCCAGGACCTGCCTCGCACCTTCCCCGGCCATCCCGCCCTGGACGCCAAGGGCAGGGACGCCCTGCGGCGGCTGCTGATAGCGTACTCGCGGCGGAACAGGGCGCTGGGGTACTGCCAGGGAATGAACTTCCTGGCGGGGCTGCTGCTGCTGCTCATGCCCGAAGAAAACGCTTTCTGGTAGGGCTGGCAGGGTGGGAGAAGAGATCGCGAGAGCGTGCAGGTGGACCTGGCAGGGGGAAGAAAGACCACTCTGATTGGTGTAGAGTAGATGGAGACATGCCCTCTGATAGGCCTGAGATTCAATCAGCAGCCCCAGTTTCAGCCTTTTGAATTACTGCTGTGCCACGTCCCACTGCTTCACTTGCCCCGTCCCCCCACCTCCCGCCCCTCATTCTCAGGACGCTGACGGCAATAGTGGACGAGCTGTTCAAAGGGTACTACTCCGATGAGATGGTCGAAGCACAGGTGAGGTTGGGGAAGAGAGGCTGAAAGGTGGGAAGGCAACAGGTAGCGGCACTAGTCCATGAGCAGTAGTGGACGAGTTGTTCAAAGGGTACTGCTCCGATGAGATGGTCGAAGCACAGGTATGGCGGGAGGAGGTGCATAGGTGATTCTTGAGGATTCTCAAAACTGTGGTTGTTGAAGCTCCTCGTGTTTTAGGTGTTTTTTTATAATTCTCGAAGACCACCTATGAGCTGTTCCAAGGGTGCTACTCGGATGAGATGGTCGAAGCACAGGCATGGCGGGAAGAGGCGCATAGGAGGGAAGGGAGGCTGATATATGGCCAAGCGTGGGTGCGAGGTGGTGGCCGAGCAATAGCTATTGAGCTGGTCAAAGGATAGGACACTAATATAATAGTGAAGGCTCAGGTGGGATGGGAATGATGGCATGTAGGAATGTGGGATGCAAAAGTGGGAAGACGTGGGTGGAGTGTGCCATTGATTGCACTGCTGTGGCACAGTGACACTGTCACTTGTGCCCTGATCAGGCACTTGTTGTGCCCTTGCTCGCACTTGTGTATCCACTTTTTCACATGCCGTCCAATTTCCAACCACTATCATAGAATCATCACGTATGTCCTTCCGTGCCCGTGCGTGCCACTGCATGCTCCCAATCATCTCCCCATCCCATCTCCCTCCATCTCGCCTCGTCCATCAGGTGGATCAGCTCGTCTTTGAGGATCTCGTTCGCCAGAACTTCCCCCGGCTCGGTGAGTGACGCCAGGCTTGGAGGGGAAAGCCAGTTTCGGTGGGGGAGCCAGGTTTGGAGAAACGCCAGCGAGGTTAGGTATCAACACGTGGGCCAGTGAGTTTCGTCTGTGTATGCGAGGATCTACTTGGCTGGAAGCCTGGGATTGCAAGCATGCTGTGGCTGAAGCACTCGTTCCGTGCACCCTTCCCACTTACAGCGGAGCGCACGGACGGGTTGGGGGTGCAGATATCGTGGATCACAGGGCCGTGGTTCCTCTCAGTCTTTCTCAACACGCTCATGTTCGCTACAATTCACATTCATACAATCACGCCCTGTGTTGGTTCACGTGCGCACATATCCATTCCTCACACCCATTCCCCCCCTGCAGTGGAGCACATGGACGCGTTGGGGGTGCAGATATCATGGATCACGGGGCCGTGGTTCCTCTCAGTCTTTGTCAACGTGCTGCCCTGGGAGAGTGGTGAGCCCCGTAGGAGAGTGGTGAGCCCCGTGGGAGAGTGGTGAGCCCCGTGGGAGAGTGGTGAGCCCCGTGGGAGAGTGGTGAGCCCCGTGGGAGAGTGGTGAGCCCCGTGGGAGAGTGGTGAGCCCCGTGGGAGAGTGGTGAGCCCCGTGGGAGAGCGGTGATCCCCCTGGGAGAGTGGTCAGCCCCGTGGGAGAGTGGTGAGATCCGTGGGAGAGTGGTGAGATCCGTGGGAGAGTGGTGAGATCCGTGGGAGAGTGGTGAGATCTGTGGGAGAGTGGTGAGATCCGTGGGAGAGTGGTGAGATCCGTTGGAGAGTGGTGAGATCCGTGGGAGAGTGGTGAGATCCGTGGGAGAGTGGTGAGATCCATGGGAGAGTGGTGAGATCCGTGGGAGAGTGGTGAGATCCGTGGGAGAGTGGTGAGATCCGTGGGAGAGTGGTGAGATCCGTGGGAGAGTGGTGAGATCCGTTGGAGAGTGGTGAGATCCGTGGGAGAGTGGTGAGATCCGTGGGAGAGTGGTGAGCCCCGTGGGAGAGTGGTGAGCCCCGTGGGAGAGCGGTGATCCCCCTGGGAGAGTGGTCAGCCCCGTGGGAGAGTGGTGAGATCCGTGGGAGAGTGGTGAGATCCGTGGGAGAGTGGTGAGATCCGTGGGAGAGTGGTGAGATCTGTGGGAGAGTGGTGAGATCCGTGGGAGAGTGGTGAGATCCGTTGGAGAGTGGTGAGATCCGTGGGAGAGTGGTGAGATCCGTGGGAGGGTGGTGAGATCCGTGGGAGGGTGGTGAGATCCGTGGGAGAGTGGTGAGATCCGTTGGAGAGTGGTGAGATCCGTGGGAGAGTGGTGAGATCCGTGGGAGAGTGGTGAGATCCGTGGGAGAGTGGTGAGATCCGTGGGAGAGTGGTGAGATCCGTGGGAGAGTGGTGAGATCCGTGGGAGAGTGGTGAGATCCGTGGGAGAGTGGTGAGATCCGTGGGAGAGTGGTGAGATCCGTTGGAGAGTGGTGAGATCCGTGGGAGAGTGGTGAGATCCGTGGGAGAGTGGTGAGCCCCGTGGGAGAGTGGTGAGCCCCGTGGGAGAGCGGTGATCCCCCTGGGAGAGTGGTCAGCCCCGTGGGAGAGTGGTGAGATCCGTGGGAGAGTGGTGAGATCCGTGGGAGAGTGGTCTGCCAATAGTTTTGACTATCCATGAGACGTTGTTCCTCTATGAAGCCATGAACGAGCGGAGAGCGCATGTGCTGCCATTGGAGAGTGGTGAGTCAATCACTAGCCTGGTTTGCATGTAAGAGGGATGGGTGCACGTTCCGCCACGTTCACCAATGCGGCCAGCTTCTGTTCGTCAGCTTTTGCTGATGTAGGCACGAGATAGCCAATTTAATTGCCTCCCTCCCTCCCCTCCCTATCTTCAGTGTGCTTCAATCCTCCTTTTCACGAGTGCAATGTAGCGTGGTCTTGAGAAGCCCCATTCTCTCCCTCCTCTTTTTTTTCTCTCTCTGCACAGCTGCGAGTGTGGGACGGCATCCTTTATGAGCAGTCGGGCTTTCAGATTCCCCATTCCCTCCCTCCACTTCCTTTGAGTCGATTCAAAAGATTCCCCATTCCCTCCCTCCACTTCCTTTGAGTCGACTCAAAAGATTCCCCATTCCCTCCCTCCACTTCCTTCTCTCTGCAGTGCTGCGAGTGTGGGACGTCATTCTCTATGAGCGCAACCGCAGCATGCTCTTCCGCACATGCCTCGCCCTCCTCGACATGCACTGTAAGCACTCCATGCCATGCACTTCACGTATACCATGCACTTGATGGTGCACTGTAAACCATCCACTTGATAACTCAAGGCTTGCAAACCCCTGTTTTTTCCCTCCCCGCCCCATCCCATCCCCTTTCTTCCCCAGCCACCCTGCTCCTATCCATGCAGGAGACGGCCGACATGGTGTCAGCGCTGCAGTCCACGGCAGCAAGCACGCTCGACACTCGTGGCTGCTTGCTTTCTCCTGTCTCACAACACACCTCTGTCATCCCACACCTCCCCTGTGCTGCCTCCGCCCTCCCCAGCCACGCTGCTGCTGTCTATGCAGGAGACGGGCAACATGATGTCGGCGCTGCAGTTCGTCCGTGGCAGCATGCAATCTTCCCCACTCGTGCTTGCTGGCTTTCAGGCGCCTCAAACCACGCCTCCCCCCATCCCTTCCCGCCCTCCCCAGCCACGCTGCTCCTATCCATGCAGGAGACGGGCGACATGATGTCGGCGCTGCAGTCCATGGCAGCATCCACGTTTGACAGCACGCAGCTGGTGCTGTCAGCATGCGTGGGGTACATGGACATCAACGAAGCCATGCTGGAGGTGAGCAGTGAAAAGAGGGGATGACTATTGCTGGGGCTGGGGCTGGTGCTGGTGCTGGTGGTGCTGGTTGCAGGATCTGCGTTGCAGGCACCACCCAGCCATAATCCAGCGGGTGGATGGTCACAGGGAATTGCTCGAATGCTGCTGCAGCACGCCACGCAGCTCCCTTGCTTGCTTTTCCTTACCTTTCTCGCCTCGTTAGGCCTTGCGAACACAACTCCGCCCGCCAATGCTGTGTCCCAAGGGGGTGGATGAGGGAAGGGAGGTGCTGAATCACTCTCCCTATCCAATGTCTCCCCTCCACCCCACCCCACCCCACCCCACCCCACCCCACCCCACCCCTCCCCACCCCACCCTAGGATCTGCGCACCAAGCACCGCCCGACCATAATGCAGCGGGTGGACGAGCGCAGGGAGGTGCTCAAGCGCTGCCGCAACAACCGCAGCGCCAAGATCCACGCAGAGGCCCTGGCCGTTCTGCAGAGGCTGGCACCGCACAGCACCGCACTCGCGTCCCCTCGCTGCCCCTCCTCCCACACGTCACCTCTGTCTGTTCCCTCGTCGTTTGACGACTCTGTGCTGCCCTCCCCCTCGCCTGCTGGCAGAAGGGGGAGGTTTAGGGCCTTTGGGGACGAGGGGGAGAAGAGGAGGGAGAGGAGGGAGAGGAGGGAGGAGATGGTGAGGGAGGGAAGGAGAGGAGGCAAGGGGGAAGGGAGAGGGGCCGTAGGTGCAGGAGGGCTAAGCAACGTGGCTAGCAGTGTCAGGGGTGGTACTGGTGCTGGTGCTGGTAGTGAGGTCGCTAACAAGAACGGTGATGGTTACAATAGTGGGGGGGATTTGGCTCCAGGAGACTTGTCCCCATGCTCCTCCTTCTCCTCCCCTTCCTTCACTCCCCCAGACTCCCCTCTTGCGAGCTTCAAGCTTCCCAATCACCATCCCCCACCCGTCTCCTTTCCCCCACACACTCTCCTCCATCCCCTCCCTCCTCTCCTCCCTCTCACTCGCTCCTCCTCTCTCTCCCGCCTCTCCCCACCAGCCGCACCCTCCTTCCTCATATGCCCCGTGCAACCTCTAGAGCCCCCCTCATACACCCTTGCCAGTGGAAAGTCACAACTTTCCCACCCTAATGAATCCACCGAACCTAGTGCCGAAGCTGGTGCCGAAGCTGGTTCGGCAGGAGCCTGCACGCAGCTGGCCCTGCCAGCGTCGGTGGTTGAGGCTCTGGACGTCATGCTGGGAGGAGGGGGGGGAGAGGGGGGGAGGGAGAGTGGTGATGTATCGCCATCTGGTGTGAGAAATAGGCTCATGGACCCGTGGGGTAGCGCCAGGTGGCAAGAGCTCATTGGCCCCCCTCGCCCACATGCCCATGCTCCCGGATCGGTCTCAGCGTCGGCGTCAAAAGCTGCAGTGAAGCGAGCAGGAGGAGCAGAGAGAGGAGTGGAGGGAGGAGGGGGTGAGGCAGAGGGGGGCGGAAGGGCTGCAGCAATAACAGCAGCGCTGGCAGTGGTGTCAGAAGAAAGAGAAGCATCTACGAGTGCCTCAATGAGTGCAGCAGTAGCAGTTGGAAAGGGCTCTGCTGCTGCTGCTGCTGCTGCTACTGCTGGTGGTGAAGCTGCAGAAAGGGCTGCAGGGAGTTACCAGCAGCGGATAAAGCGGTCCCCTGAGCTGCTGCTGCGAAGCGGGTCCTTTGCTCCCAGCAGCAGCAGCCTCAACAAGATCCCTGCGCTTGCTCTCGATTCAAGAGATGAGAGGCACAGAACCACCACCAGTGCTGCTGCTGCTGCTGCCAAAATTTCCTCTGCTACTGCTGCTGTCACTGCTGCCAGCGCCAGCAACACTGCTGCCAGCGCCAGCAACACTGCTGCAACCGCCAGCAGCAAGAGCAATAGCAAGGTGTCATCAGACGTCCCTTCCGACCTCTCCCCCACCTTCTCACCCCCCTCCTCCCCCTCGTCCCCCTCCTCCGGCTTCTCCCCTCCCTCCCCCGGTTCTCCCTCGATTTCCTTAGAGGGAGATGGGTCCCTCCTTCCAGGTGAGGCTACAGCGAAGGAGAAGGGGAGAAGGAGAGAGGGTGAGAAGGAGAGGAGAGAGAAGGAGCAGAAAAGCGGGAGGGAGAAGGGGAGGGAGAAGAGGGGAGAGGGGGAAGGGAGCAGAGTGAAGGAGAAGCGGAGAGGGAAGGAGGGGAAAGGTGAGGAGGATGCCAAGGGCAGTCGCGCTGCTGGTGGAGTGGCGTCAGACTCGTCACACTCGCTACAGTCACACTCACAACGAGCACAATCACTTTCTGGACATCAGCTGAGCGATGGGAGAGGGGCGGACGGGGGCAGGAAAGGGGATGGCAGGGAGTGGCGGGCGGCGGGAGGGAGAGGCAGAGGCATTCGGCCACACAGCTTAAACGAGAGGCGAAGCCCAGGGTTGGGTATGGGCGTGGGTTGGGGTGGGGATGGATACCCTCCTCCCCACCACCATATAGACAGGGGGGCTCATACTACTACTATCCATAAAGCCAGAAGTGTTGCTGGCACTGGCAGTGGTACTGCTGGTGGTGCTGGTGGTGCTGGTGGTGCTGGTGGTGCTGGTGGTGAGGGAAGGGTGCATGTAAGGATAGGTAGGACGAGCAGCGCGGATGTGGGCAGGGTGGCTGAAAGGCCCAGTCGTGCAGGTGGGCGAGGAGGAGGAGGGAGTGGGGGGGAGAGGGAGGGGAGGGGAGAGAGGGAGGGAGCCGGAGCATTGGTGCGATTGGAGGAGGCGGAGAGCCAAGGAGGGCGTCACGTGCGGGTTGAAGTGGTGACCGAGCTGCAGGCGCAGGTGAGAGGGGATGATGCGTGAGAGGGGATGATGGGGTTATGGGGTTAGATTGCAATGCCCTGTGGTTATTCTCACGTGCGGGTTGAAGTGGTGACAGAGCTGCAGGCACAGGTGAGAGGGGGTGTTTCACTCACAGCTCTGATTTACCCTCTCCCTCTAAGCCCAATATGTCTTTGTATTAGGTAGGGGGGCATGGTACAGACATGGCAGCTCTGGTTTACCCTCTCCCTCAAAACCCAGCACTGATTTACCCGCTCCCTCAAAACCTCGCACTGATTTACCCGCTCCCTCGAAACCCAGCACTGATGATCCTTTTTCTGTCCTCCCCACCTCCCCACGCCTTCTCTCTTTCCCACACCTTCCCACCTCCCCTCCACCAGGTGGCGTGGCTGAAGGAGCAGCTGGTGTTTGCACTCGAGGCGAGAGACGAAGCCATTCAGAGGTGAGAGGGCAGACCATGTGCCCCATGCCCCTCCCTGCAGAGAGATGTGCCCCATGTCCCTCCCTGCAGAGAGACGTACCCTTGATACACGTACCCTTGACACACGTACCCTTGACACACGTACCCTTGACACACGTAACCTTGACACACGTACCCTTGACACACGTACCCTTGACACACGTAACCTTGACACACGTACCCTTGACACACGTACCTTGACACACGTACCCTTGACACACGTACCCTTGACACACGTACCCTTGACACACGTACCCTTGACACAAGTAACCTTGACACACGTACCCTTGACACACGTACCCTTGACACACGTACCCTTGACACACCTACCCTTGACACACGTACCCTTGACCGCACGTACCCTTGACACACGTAACCTTGACACACGTACCCTTGACACACGTACCCTTGACACACGTACCCTTGACACACGTACCCTTGACACACGTACCCTTGACCGCACGTACCCTTGACACACGTAACCTTGACACACGTACCCCTTGACACACGTACCCCTTGACACACGTACCCTTGACACACGTACCCTTGACACACGTACCCTTGACACACGTACCCTTGACACACGTACCCTTGACACACGTACCCTTGACACACGTACCCTTGACACACGTACCCTTGACACACGTAACCTTGACACACGTACCCTTGACACACGTACCCTTGACACACGTACCCTTGACACACGTACCCTTGACACACGTACCCTTGACACACGTACCCTTGACACACGTACCCTTGACACACGTACCCTTGACACACGTACCCTTGACACACGTAACCTTGACACACTTACCCTTGACACACGTACCCTTGACACACGTACCCTTGACACACGTACCCTTGACACACGTACCCTTGACACAAGTAACCTTGACACACGTACCCTTGACACACGTACCCTTGACACACGTACCCTTGACACACCTACCCTTGACACACGTACCCTTGACCGCACGTACCCTTGACACACGTAACCTTGACACACGTACCCTTGACACACGTACCCTTGACACACGTACCCTTGACACACGTACCCTTGACACACGTACCCTTGACACACGTACCCTTGACACACGTACCCTTGACACACGTACCCTTGACACACGTACCCTTGACACACGTACCCTTGACACACCTACCCTTGACACACGTACCCTTGACCGCACGTACCCTTGACACACGTAACCTTGACACACGTACCCTTGACACACGTACCCTTGACACACGTACCCTTGACACACGTACCCTTGACACACGTACCCTTGACCGCACGTACCCTTGACACACGTAACCTTGACACACGTACCCCTTGACACACGTACCCCTTGACACACGTACCCTTGACACACGTACCCTTGACACACGTACCCTTGACACACGTACCCTTGACACACGTACCCTTGACACACGTACCCTTGACACACGTACCCTTGACACACGTACCCTTGACACACGTACCCTTGACACACGTACCCTTGACACACGTACCCTTGACACACGTACCCTTGACACACGTACCCTTGACACACGTACCCTTGACACACGTACCCTTGACACACGTACCCTTGACACACGTAACCTTGACACACTTACCCTTGACACACGTACCCTTGACCGCACGTACCCTTGACACACGTAACCTTGACACACGTACCCCTTGACACACGTACCCCTTGACACACGTACCCTTGACACACGTAACCTTGACACACGTACCCTTGACACACGTAACCTTGTCACACGTACCCTTGACACACGTACCCTTGACACACGTACCCTTGACACACATACCCTTGACCACACGTACCCTTGACACACGTAACCTTGACACACGTACCCCTTGACACACGTACCCCTTGACACACGTACCCCTTGACACACGTACCCTTGACACACGTACCCTTGACACACGTACGTACCCTTGACACACGTACGTACCCTTGACACACGTACCCTTGACACACGTACCCTTGACACACGTACGTACCCTTGACACACGTACCCTTGACACACGTACCCTTGACACACATACCCTTGACACACGTACCCTTGACACACGTACGTACCCTTGACACACGTACGTACCCTTGACACACGTACGTACCCTTGACACACGTACCCTTGACACACGTACCCTTGACACACGTACCCTTGACACACGTACCCTTGACACACGTACCTTTGACACACGTAACCTTGACACACGTACCCTTGACACACGTACCCTTGACACACGTACCCTTGACACACGTACCCTTGACACACGTACCCTTGACACACGTACCCTTGACACACGTACCCTTGACACACGTACCCCTTGACACACGTACCCTTGACACACGTAACCTTGACACACGTACCCTTGACACACGTAACCTTGTCACACGTACCCTTGACACACGTACCCTTGACACACGTACCCTTGACACACGTACCCTTGACCACACGTACCCTTGACACACGTAACCTTGACACACGTACCCCTTGACACACGTACCCCTTGACACACGTACCCCTTGACACACGTACCCTTGACACACGTACCCTTGACACACGTACGTACCCTTGACACACGTACGTACCCTTGACACACGTACCCTTGACACACGTACCCTTGACACACGTACCCTTGACACACGTACGTACCCTTGACACACGTACCCTTGACACACGTACCCTTGACACACATACCCTTGACACACGTACCCTTGACACACGTACGTACCCTTGACACACGTACGTACCCTTGACACACGTACGTACCCTTGACACACGTACCCTTGACACACGTACCCTTGACACACGTACCCTTGACACACGTACCCTTGACACACGTACCCTTGACACACGTACCCTTGACACACGTACCCTTGACACACGTACCCTTGACACACGTACACTTGACACACGCACCCTTGACACACGTCATTCCATGAGGCGTCTCGAAACGAAATGGCTAACACACCCATCACGTCATTCCATGTGTGCGCGCCGTGCATCTTTCTCGTCCTACCTGTGCATGCAAGCAGGTCTGTTTTTGAGGCACCTCAAAAGGACTCCTTTGTCCTCCCACCCACCCATGCATGTATTTAGGTCCGAGGCACTGCAGGCAGCAATGGTGGAGATGGGGCAGTCCACCACCAACCAGGCGCTTGCTGCTAAGGTAAGCGTTACCACATTTCATGGTGTAACTGTGGTAACCACCAACCAGGCGCTTGCGGGCGCTACCTCATTTTATGGTGTAACTATGGTAACCACCAACTAGGCGCTTGCTGGCGCTACCTCATTTTATGGTGTAACTGTGGTAACCACCAACCAGGCGCTTGCGGGCGCTACCTCATTTTATGGTGTAACTATGGTAACCACCAACTAGGCGCTTCCTGGCGCTACCTCATTTTATGGTGTAACTGTGGTAACCACCAACTAGGTGCTTGCTGTCGCTACCTCATTTTATGGTGTAACTGTGGTAACCACCAACTAGGCGCTTGCTGGCGCTACCTCATTTTATGGTGTAACTGTGGTAACCACCAACCAGGCGCTTGCGGGCGCTACCTCATTTTATGGTGTAACTGTGGTAACCACCAACCAGGGGCAGCAGGAGGCAGCACAGGTGCTGATAGAGGCAGTTAGGGAGGGGCATGCACCGGAGGTGCCGGCCCAGCCCCCTGTCCCGTAGTACTCCTCATACTGATAAGGAGGAGGGTCCCACGGTCAATATGAGGGGCACAGCCACACAGATAGAGATGCAGGAGGCTGCCCGTTGCCGGTGGCGGCACAGGTAGAGCTGCCAGGAGGAGTCGGCGAAGGCTCTATTGGAGGGGTGAGGGGCAAAAGACGCGGAGATGGAGCGCGAGGTGGGGGGGGGGGTCACTGATGGCCCCTCCCTGCCCCGTTGTCTGCCCCTGTCTCCCCTCCCCCCCTGGCCCCTCAGATTGACGAGGTAGAGAACGAGCTGACTGTGGCCCGGAAGCAGATAGACGCCCACAGGAGGGAGATAACCCAGCAGCAGAGAGCCATGGAGGCCCAGCAAGAGGCGTCCACGCGAGCACTGCTAGAGCAGCAGGAGGAGTCGGCAAAGGCGTTATTGGAGGCGGTGAGGGCTAAGGACGCGGAGATGGAGCGCGAGGTGGGGGCGCTGCTGGGCGCGCTGAGGGCCAAGGAGGAGCGCATGCGGGGGGAGATAGAGACGCTGCAGGACCGGCTGGAGGAAAAGGACGGGGAGATTGGGCGCCTGGCCAGGGTAAGAGCAGGGTGGGAAGGACAGGGAGATTGGGCGACTTGCTGGGGTGAGTGGCTTGCGGTGCGAGGGGGGGCTGGGGTGGGGAAGGGTGGAGGGCTGTCTCAACCCAAGGAGGAGCTCATACGAGGGGAGATAGAGGCGCTGCAGGATCGGCTGGAGGAGAAGGACGGGGAGATCGGGCGCCTGGCCAGGGTGAGTGGCAGGGGCAGAGCTCTGGGAGGGGTGGGGAGAGTGGGGGTTGGGCGGGCTGTTTCCATTTTTCTTGTGCCTCGAGCCAAGAAGGGGTCATGCGGGGGGGAGAAAGAGGCGCTGCAGGAACGGTTCGAGGAGAAAGACGGGGAGATAGGGCACCTTGCTAGGGTAAGAGGGGTGGGGGGGGGAGGGGGAGAGGAGTGGGGGGGTGTCGGGGTTTGGTTTGGAGGGCTGCTGTTTACAGGGTTTAGGGTTCAGGGTGTGTGGCGGCTCACGCATAGGAGGATCACGTGTGGGGCGAAATACAGGCGCTGCAGGACAGGCTGGAGGAGAAGGACTGTGGTAAGGGCTGTGGTAAGGGCTGTGGCATGAATGGCAAGAGGGAGAGAGCAGCACAGGCCTTGGAGGAGAATACAGCATGTCCATGGCATCGAGCCCCTGCGAGAGACTTCTGAGAACTCTCAAGAATACAGCATGTCCGTGGCATCAAACCCCCCACTTCCTACTGCAGGTGTTTTTTTAGAGATTTGAAAACACCTACAGCAGGGAAAGAGCAGCATGAGCCTTGTAGGAGAGTACAGCATGGCCGAGGCATCAAACCCCTCCCCCTTCCCCTCGTGTTGTATCTTCCTCCCTTAGCCCTTCGTCCTTCACGTATATCTGAGCAGAGGTTGGAGGAAGCGGCTAGGTCATGGATGCTGTTCGACCATCCCCAATGCATAAAGAGCCTCCCTCTTCACCCTCCTCCTCTTTCCCTCTGCCCTCTGCCCGCTGCCCGCTGCCCGGTGCCCGGCGCCCTGGCCCTTTGTGTGTCTTCCAGAGGCTGGAGCGAGCAGCCAAGGACATGGAGGATATCATAGCGGCCAACTCGCAGCAGGTGGAGACACAGAAGAACGTCATTGAGATGCTCGCGGTATGTCACATGGTGTGGTGGGGTTCAGTGCGGTGTGGTCTGGTGTGGCAATGGGGTGTTATGCAACAGCAGCCTGTTTACAGCAGGTGGAGACACGGACGCATGTCGTTGAAATGGTCGTGGTGGGCTACATGGTGCGCTGCATTGCAGTGTGATACACTGCGGTGCGGCGATGTGCGCCACTAGCTAACCACAGAGCAGAGGGCGCACCTCTGTCCTCTCCTCTCACACGCCTAGTTGTCTTCTCAGTCCTCTCGTCTCACACGCCCACCCTACGCCCTATCCGCTACCCCCTCCCTTCTGCCTTCTGCCTCCTGGCAACCCCCCCTGATCTTGTCCAGGAGAGCAGTCGGGATTCGCGGCAGAAGCTGGCAGCCATGGAGCAGAGGGCGCTGGCAGCAGAGAGGTGAGAGAGAGTCTTCTTATTAGCCCAGGTGACGTTTGGCCGTGTAGCAAGTCACCCACTCAAGAGTGACTCGCGGCAGAAGCTGGCAGCTATAGAGCAGAAGGCGCTGGCAGCAGAGAGGTTAGGGATGGCTGCGTTGCACCTGTTGAATTTGTGTGGACTCTAGTCTCCGAATTCAGTCAATCACGGCAGAAGCTGGCAGCTGTGGAGCAGAGGGCGCTGGCAGCAGAGATGTCAGTCGGGGGTGTAGTGGTGTGTTAGACCTTGGGTGGGTTCTGTGTTGTATTGAGAGTGGTGCGCTGATTGCCATGGGGCGGCATCACACCAGGGTGGGTGAGGAGTGGCGCACCGAAGAGGTCCATTCGGCCTCTTGATTCCGTTGGGTCTGTTGTGAGGCACGACGAAGCCAGTGGAGATAGAAGCCAGTGGAGAGAGAAGCCAGTGGAGATAGAAGCCATTGGAGAGAGAAGCCAGTGGAGAGAGAAGTCAGTGGAGAGAGAAGCCAGTGGAGAGAGAATCCAGTGGAGAGAGATGCCAGTGGAGCAGGAAGCCACTGGATAGCAGAGAGCTGGGATGGCAAAGGAGAGTGTTTAGTTGCTGCTGTGTGTTGTATAACTATGCATTCCCACTTGCATCTCGCGCTACTTGCTTGTCTACTGTGGCGCCTTCATCACTCCAGCTACTCCTGCCACCATGTTTGCGCTCCTCATTCCGTCCCTGTCGCAGCATGGTGGAAGCCTTCGTGGAAGCTTCCTCCCTGGAGGAGGTCCAATCGATGGTGGACGACATGCCTGCTACGCCTTCTGGATCTCTTGACACGTCATCTTCTGCGCATGATGACGTCAGTATGAGGAGTAGCACGGTCAGCATGACTAGCAGCAGCCTTGCCATGTCAGAAGCTGAGCTGGAGCGAATGACAGCAGCAGCGCTGGCGATTGGGAGTAGTGGTAGCAGGGGCAGCACACGACAGTATATGGCTACCCACCATCCTTCGTCATCCAATTATTTAATGCCGACCGGAGATTCGCAACAGCTGGTGCAACAGCATGAGCCGCAGCAAGGGTATCGGCCACACACAGCTCCAGATAACCGCCGACCCACGGCTGTCAGATCTATTTTTGAAGGAATCTCAGGGGCTATCAATGCTAGGATGGGGGGCGCTGTGCCTGGGGCGACATCCCTGCCAAGGACTCAACCCTGACAGGAAGAGAGAGTAACCTTGTGATGTATAGGTGAAACTAGCACAATATTTATGAGATGTTGCAGTTTTCATTTTTGCCCTCCATCGAAATTATATGCACTCTTGTTGAGGCGTGCAATTTTGTACTAGCGCGGATACTCTGCATGATACTGCAACTGCGGATGCGCTGTATTCTCCTCATGCCTAGCTGGCTGAAATTCCGCCCACTGACTTTTCCCCGCGGCTCCGCCCAGCCCCCAGGCATGACCGCAAGATTGAATCCCCCGACACCCCCACCAGGCGCTAATAGGGCATCTGGACCTCCCGTATCATTATTGGTCAGGGATGTCTCGCGAAAGCCCGATGTTACTTCTTTCATTTCGCATAGACCGTCTGACAACTCCCGAACCTTGCAAAATTCGCTCAGGCGAAGACCTTGCGACGGCCTCTTGAATTTGCCCCTCCTGATTGCCTCCCAGATTTGCTTTTCCTCCCTACAAGTACTTGGGTACTTAGTAGTAGGTGATCGGTCCTTACCATCCGGAAACAGAGCGCCCCCTCGATCTGTCGCTTCGGCCCAGCACGCACGCGGCGCGCTCCCCTCACCCCCCTGGTCTTTCCTATATCTGCGCGCTCCCCCCCCCCCCTACCTTTGCAAGCTGCCTCCTCCCCAGATCTTTGCGTGCGCCACCGCCATGGCATTCTCCCGCCTCTCCTCCCGCTTCGCTTCTCTCTGCCTTCTCCTCGCAATCGCGTCTCCGTGCCTGCTGACGTCAGCGCAATTCCCGGTCCCGTCGACGTACGACGGCTTGGTCTACGGCGCTGACGTCAGCGAGCGGCAGCCCGTTCTTCTGGAGGCTTTCCTGGATCTGACGTGTCCGTCCTGCCAGGCGGCGTGGCCCGTGTTGCGCCACGTGGCGAAGTTCTACGGGACGAAGCGGCTCCGGTTTGTCGTTCACCTGTTCTCCAATGCGTGAGTTCCGCGCCGCTCCCCTTCGTTCTCATCGCTCAGCGTTCCCGTTGCAACATCCTTCTCGACCGCTCCCGACTCCTCGCCTCAAACGGCCCACCTGCCACCCCCATCCTTCCTTCTTCCCCGCTCTCACCTCATCCCCTCCCTCCCCCCTCTTCCCCCCTCTCCTCTCCTCCCCCCCCCCCCCTGTCCTCCCTCCCCCCCCTCCTCTCTCCCTCCCCTCCTCTCTCCCTCCCCTCCTCTCTCCCCCCCTCCTCTCCCCCCACCTCTCCTCTCCCCCCTCCCCCCAGTTTCCACCACAACTCCTACTTCGCGTCGCAGGCCACCAATGCCGTCGCCGCCATCAACGGCTCGCTCGCGTTCCCCTGGATCGACGCCGTCTTCCACGCGCAGGCCGACCTCTCACTGAGCGCCACGTGGCACAAGACGCCCGAGCAGGTCGCGGCGCAGCTGGCGCGGCTCGCGGAGGAGCGCCTCGGGATTGCCGAGGAGAGCTTCAAGGCGAAGTTTGTGGACCCTAACGTGGAGTGGAGCACTCGGATCGCCTTCAAGGTACGGCGGGCGGGTGGGAGGTGAGTGGGAGGGTGGGAGGGAGGGTGGGTGGGAGCATGCGGGGGAAGGGTGCTTGTGCATCTGAGAGAGAAGAGGAGAGCTTCAAGGCGAAGTTTGTGGGCCCTAGTGTGGAGTGGAGCACTAGGATTGCATTCAAGGTGGGTGGGTCGGTGGGTCGGTCGGTGATTGAGTGCTTGTGCGAGGGAGAAATGTGGGAGGGGTGTGAGGGGGGCGAGAAAAGTGTTTTATACAGCGGAGCGGACTATCCATGATTCTAGTACAGTGAGTGATCTTCCGATTGCTGTGTGGGGGGGGGGTGGGGGGGAGTGGGGGGGGTTGGGGGGGGGGGGGGGGGAGGAAGAAGGGGGGGTAAATGGCCGTGCCACATGCCATTGAGCACCTATCAATTACAATGAAGAAAATATGGGTTCGACCCGCAGCACAGAGTAGTTTCTTAGATTGGATACTAAGCTAGGCTAAGGAGCAAGAAAGGTAACGGAAATTCGTGACTAGTTAGGAAACCCACACGCACCAGGAGCATTGAGCATCCATCAATTTAACGCACTTCCGTTCCCTGCCCGCTCCACTGCACCCACCTCCCTCCCCTTCACCCACCTTTCTCCCCTTCGCCCCCGTTCCGCCCACTCCCCTTCACCCCACCCTGTACGGCTGCTCATGGGCAGCGAACCATCGATCACTGGCAATGATCGATCGGTGCTCACCTATCTCCTTTCCCACCTTTCCTCATCCCCCCCCCCCCCCCCCACCCGCCCCCCCCACACTCCCCTCTCACCTTCCCACCAGTACGGCTGTTCACATGCAATAGTGGGAACGCCCTCGTTCCTGGTGAACGGGTTGCCGGTGCCGAGGGCAGCCGAGCAGTGGGCCATCCACAGCTGGCAGGCGCCCTTCTATCCCCTGCGCCACCTTTCCGCTTCTCCCCTTCCCCCCTTTGGCAGCCACCCCCCTTCCACCCCTTCACCCCCAAAAGCAATATGGCTGCTCCCGTGATGTCTTCGGCACACCAACCTTTCTGCTGAACGGTGTGCCGGTGCCAAGGGAAACGGAGCAGTGGGCCATCTACGATTGGCGGGCGCTCATCGATCCCCTGCGTGCCACGTTCCTCCCCATTCCCCTTTCGACCCCCCACAACAGTACGGCTGCTCACGTGCTGTCGTGGCAACGCCAACCTTCCTGGTGAACGGAGTGCTGGTGCCGAGAGCAACGGAGGAGTGGACAATCTACGATTGGCGGGCGCTCATCGATCCCCTCCTTCCGCCACCTGTCCTGGCCGCAGACACTCGCTCCCCTCGAAAGCTTGCACTCGAGTGACTCAACTAGCTTGCAAACGCCTCTAGGGCCCCCTTCTGCCCCCGCCTGTCCTGGCCTCAAGCGCCCGCTCCCCTCCAAGGCTGGCACTCGAGTGACTCCCTCCCTCCCAGCCTTGCCAGCTTTATGGTTCAGTTGAAACTTGAGGACATTTGGTAGGAGTGGGTCCCGCGAGTTGTGGGAAAGAATGTATGGCTTTAATTGTGATTCGAGCCTGGTCTGGTTAGGGTTTGTGGGAATACGCCCCTGTTGCCCAGCACACTGCCTTTCCTCGGACTCATAGAGTGTTGGAATACGGTTCGCTTCTGTGGTTCCGTCCGTTCCGTGTATATGGTGTTCCAGTAGTGCTGGTATGCAGGCAGATTCCTTCTACTTCAGGCAAACATGCTCATTCATCCCGGCACTCTTCCTCCAGCCAGCGTGGTACATGGATGCCATTTCTCATGCCACGAATTGAAATGGTGTCATACCGGGTCTGCTAGGACCAGTCGCACCAGGTTGGGTCGGTCCTGGCGAACCTTGGAGCCAGCTCCGTACGAGGCTCGGCAAGGCCGGCAGTCAGGCCAGGGGGTCCAGGTTTGGGTGAGGGCAGCAAGGAGAGCCGCGCCTGTTGGGGTTACCAGCTCGCCCTTGCACCCTGCAGGGAAGGTGGGGATAGATGCCCTGCGGTGGGGGGGAGGGAGGTGGGGAGGGCAGAGGGGGGAAGGGAGAGTGAGTTCAGGTTTGAATGAGAGCAGCAAGGAGAGCAGCACCTGCAGGCGTCACTTGCTCGCCCTTGCATCCTGTCGTGAATGTAGGAGTGTAGGCGTGTAGCACTTATAGCAGCAGAGCCAGAGACACCCTTGCACCAAGCATTGTGTATTTGATGGGAGGGAGAGGTCTAAGGGTAAAAGGGCAAGGAGCATTAGATTGGAGGGCAGCAAGGAGAGCAGCGGCTGTTGGGGTTACCAGCACCTGTTGCGGTTACCAGCACCTGTTGGGGTTAGCAGCACCAGTTGCGGTTACCAACACCTGTTGTGGTTACCAGCACCAGTTGCAGTTACCAGCACCTGTTGTGGTTACCAACACCTGTTGTGGTTACCAGCACCAGTTGCAGTTACCAGCACTGTTGCAGTTACCAGCACCAATTGCGGTTACCAGCACCAGTCGCCATTACCAGCACCTGTTGCAGTTACCAGCACCAGTTGCGGTTACCAGCACCATGCAGAGGAAGACAGAGAGGAGGGGCGGACAGGGGGGAGAAGACGAAAGATATATTTCTCACTTGCAAATGATCTCCAGAGTAGCAGGAGCGGGGGCGGGCAGGGGGCCATGGGCAGCGCCTGTGATGATGCCACGCGCGATGGGGAGGGGCGAGGCTGCGATGAGGGATGGTGACAGATAGTCAATGGCTGCTGCTGCCGCCACCATGTCCACTATGCTGTCCACTGCGCCCACCTGCAAGCATGGGGGATGGATTATATGGTGCAAGGGCGCGTGGGGACATGTAGTGGGGAGGGGCGGGCGAGGCTGCTATGAGCGATGGCGACAGGAAGTCAATGGCTGCTGCTGCTGCCACCATGTCCACTATGCTGTCCACCGTGCCCACCTGCAGCAAGAGCGCATGGGTTTTATGGGGGCGTTGGTCAGGAAGGGGCGAGGCTGCTACGAGGGATGGCGATAGGTAGTCAAAGGCTGCTGCTGCCACCATGTCCACTATGCTGTCGACCGCCCCCACCTGTATCAAGGAAGGGTGTATCGATTTATGGGAGCATGGGAGCATGGGAGCATGGGAGCATGGGAGCATGGGAGCATGGGAGCATGAGAGCATGGGAGCATGGTAGCATGGGAGCATGGGTGGGAGAATGGGAGTATGGGAGCATGGGAGTATACAAGCATGGGAGCATGGGAGTATGGGAGCATGGGAGTATGGGAGTATGGGAGTATACAAGCATGGGAGTATGGGAGTATGGGAGTATGGGAGTATGGGAGTATACAAGCATGGGAGCATGGGAGTATGGGAGCATGGGAGTATGGGAGTATGGGAGTATACAAGCATGGGAGTATGGGAGTATGGGAGTATGGGAGTATGGGAGTATGGGAGCATGGGAGTATGGGAGCATGGGAGTATACAAGCATGGGAGCATGGGAGTATGGGAGCATGGGAGTATGGGAGTATGGGAGTATACAAGCATGGGAGTATGGGAGTATGGGAGTATGGGAGTATGGGAGTATGGGAGTATACAAGCATGGGAGCATGGGAGTATGGGAGCATGGGAGTATGGGAGTATGGGAGTATACAAGCATGGGAGTATGGGAGTATGGGAGTATGGGAGTATGGGAGCATGGGAGTATGGGAGCATGGGAGTATACAAGCATGGGAGCATGGGAGTATGGGAGTATGGGAGTATGGGAGCATGGGAGTTTACAAGCATGGGAGTATGGGAGCATGGGAGTATGGGAGTATGGGAGTATGGGAGCATGGGAGTATGGGAGCATGGGAGCATGGGAGCATGGGTGTATGGGAGCATGGGAGCATGGGTGTATGTGTGTATGAATGTGTGGTTGTATGGGTGCATGATTGTACGGGTGTACGGGTGTATGGGTGTATGGGTGCATGGGTGTATGGGTGTATGGGTGCATGGGTGCATGGGTGCATGGGTGTATGGGTGTATGGTTGTATGGGTGCATGGGTGCATGGGTGTATGAGTGTATGGGTGTATGAGTGTATGGGTGTATGGGTGTACGGGTGTATGGGTGTATGAGTGTATGGGTGTATGGGTGTATTGGTGTGAACATGGATTACAGAGGTGCTTGTTTGCATCCATGCCCCCACCCCACCCCACCACGTGGCCATGCCAGGAGTTCTGGAGCAAGCGCTGCATGACTGTCGCCATGTCCACGATGAAGACCATGGGTGCACATACAGATCTCATGCATGCACTAGGCAAGAAATATCATCGCCTCATGGAAGTGCACATCATCCACACTCATGCCATGCACAGTTTTGAGACATCTCAAAACCAACCCACTCAAACACGGATCCGCACTCATGCCATGCACACACGTGGTTGATGTGCCTAGGTTTGAGAAAGTCGGACACATCCATTTGAAGAGTCTATTTTTGAGGCGCCTCAAGAAGAGAACAACAGGACCATCACCTCATGGCCCATCACCTCATGGCCCATCACCTCATGGCCCATCACCTCATGGCCCATCACCTCATGGCCCATCACCTCGTGGCCCATCACCTCATGGCCCATCACCTCATGGCCCATCACCTCATGGCCCATCACCTCGTGGCCCATCACCTCGTGGCCCATCACCTCGTGGCCCATCACCTCATGGCCCATCACCTCATGGCCCATCACCTCATGGCCCATCACCTCATGGCCCATCACCTCATGGCCCATCACCTCATGGCCCATCACCTCATGGCCCATCACCTCGTGGCCCATCACCTCGTGGCCCATCACCTCATGGCCCATCACCTCATGGCCCATCACCTCATGGCCCATCACCTCGTGGCCCATCACCTCGTGGCCCATCACCTCGTGGCCCATCACCTCATGGCCCATCACCTCATGGCCCATCACCTCATGGCCCATCACCTCGTGGCCCATCACCTCGTGGCCCATCACCTCATGGCCCATCACCTCATGGCCCATCACCTCGTGGCCCATCACCTCATGGCCCATCACCTCGTGGCCCATCACCTCGTGGCCCATCACCTCGTGGCCCATCACCTCGTGGCCCATCACCTCATGGCCCATCACCTCATGGCCCATCACCTCATGGCCCATCACCTCGTGGCCCATCACCTCGTGGCCCATCACCTCGTGGCCCATCACCTCGTGGCCCATCACCTCATGGCCCATCACCTCATGGCCCATCACCTCATGGCCCATCACCTCATGGCCCATCACCTCGTGGCCCATCACCTCGTGGCCCATCACCTCATGGCCCATCACCTCGTGGCCCATCACCTCATGGCCCATCACCTCATGGCCCATCACCTCATGGCCCATCACCTCATGGCCCATCACCTCATGGCCCATCACCTCATGGCCCATCACCTCATGGCCCATCACCTCATGGCCCATCACCTCATGGCCCATCACCTCATGGCCCATCACCTCATGGCCCATCACCTCATGGCCCATCACCTCGTGGCCCATCACCTCGTGGCCCATCACCTCGTGGCCCATCACCTCGTGGCCCATCACCTCATGGCCCATCACCTCATGGCCCATCACCTCATGGCCCATCACCTCATGGCCCATCACCTCATGGCCCATCACCTCGTGGCCCATCACCTCGTGGCCCATCACCTCGTGGCCCATCACCTCGTGGCCCATCACCTCATGGCCCATCACCTCATGGCCCATCACCTCGTGGCCCATCACCTCGTGGCCCATCACCTCGTGGCCCATCACCTCGTGGCCCATCACCTCATGGCCCATCACCTCGTGGCCCATCACCTCGTGGCCCATCACCTCGTGGCCCATCACCTCGTGGCCCATCACCTCATGGCCCATCACCTCATGGCCCATCACCTCATGGCCCATCACCTCATGGCCCATCACCTCATGGCCCATCACCTCATGGCCCATCACCTCATGGCCCATCACCTCATGGCCCATCACCTCGTGGCCCATCACCTCGTGGCCCATCACCTCGTGGCCCATCACCTCATGGAGTGGAGGTGCACCACATCCACGTCCACAGCCATACCATGCACCCCATGGGTGAGCAAATGTGCTCGTATCCCTCGACGTTGGTGTGCCTGAATCTAGCGTGACTGAAGCGAGAGACACTCTCACCTCATGGAAGTGCACGTCATCCACGGCCATGCCATGCACGCACGCCTCCGCCTCCGCTAGCAGCCGGAACGCCCTGCTTGCTATGGCCCTGGCGCCACGTGGCAGGCTGCTATTGGCCAGCAGATGGCGGATGGCTGCATAGTCCCTGAAGGGCTGGTTCGCCCCATCATCCACCTGGAAGCTGCCAGGAAGGCGCGGATGCACGAAGGGAGGGAAAAGAAGTGTGACTTCACATTATCCCAAGAGGAGTCTATTTGTGAGGCGCCTAAAAAATGCAGGAAGGGCAGGGAGGGAGAAGAGGAAAGGAACCGAGGGAGGCGAGAGACAGGGGAGCAGCCCCCACCCAGATCCAGCAGCGTCCCAAGGATGGAGGGGCAAAGGGGTCTTGTAGAGAAACAAGGGTCTTGTAGAGAAACAAGGGTCTTGTAGAGAAACAAGGGTCTTGTAGAGAAAAAAGAGCGAGCGTATCTTACTGGGGAGCAGTTCAAACGGATCGACGGGTCGCTTCCACCCTGCAGGTCACGTGGGAGACGCCCACGGCCCTCACTCACCCCTTCCTCCACCACCGTTATAGGTACAGCCAGGTATAGTTTCGCTGCTACTAGCATGTGCCCTGCCGGCATTGCGATCAGCACAGCCCAAGGATGGAGGAACACCGCAGGATAGAGGCCAGGCACCAAAGCACGAGGGCAGCCAAGGGGCTTCGGGGGCAACCAGAGAGAGTGTATCTTACTGGGTTGCACTTATAGCGGACGCTGAGTAGTGTATCTTACTGGGTTGCACTTATAGCGGACGCTGAGTAGTGTATCTTACTGGGTTGCACTTATAGCGGACGCTGAGTTGCTTCAACCCAGCAGGTCACGCATGAGAGGCCCACCCCTTCCTCCACCACCCATACAGGCACACGCACTCCCAGGTTCAGCAGCAGCGCTGCCACCAGCATTGCTACCAGCACACCCCAGGATGAAGAGGCAAAGGGGTTTTGTGGGGCAGCAAGAGAGAGCGTAGCGTATCTTACTGGGGAGCAGTAATAGCGGATCGCTGGGTTGCTTCCACCCGGCAGGTCACGCGTGAGAGGCCCACTGCCCTCACCCCCTCCTCCACCAGCGCTACAGGCACTCCCAGGTGTAGCAGCGCTGCCACCAGCATTGGTACCAGCCCACCCACGGATGGAGGGACGAAGGGAAGGGGTCTTGCGCGGTAACAAGGGAGAGTGTAACTTACTGGATGACTTTTGAGTCGACTCAAAAGTCATCTTGCGTGGTAACAAGGGAGAGTGTTAACTTACTGGGGAGCAGTAATAGCGGATCGCTGGGTTGCTTCCACCCGGCAAGTCACGTGTGAGAGGCCCACCGCCCTTATTCCCTCTTCCACCACCGTTATAGGCACACCCAGGTCTAGTAACGCTGCCACCAGCATGTCCCCTGCCGCCCCTGCCACGTGTGCGTCTATGAACAGAAGCTTCCCCGCTCCTTCCCCACGTGTCAGAGGGGCGTTCCGCGGGCGCCACGTGGATGGGAGGAAGAGAGGTTGATGCGGTGACGATGGGTGGGAATGCGGTGGTGGTGGGTGGGAATGCGGTGGTGATGGGTGGGTTGGTGAGGGGGAGGCGTGGGAGGAGGAGGCGAGGGGGGATGACGAGGGCGTGAGGGGATGGTTGTGGTCGTGATTGTGGTTGGGGGCCTCAAGGGCTTGTGAACGAGAATGTGCATGGGTGGTATGAGTATGGTCGTGAGCATGGCCATGGCCATGACCATGGTCATGGTGATGGGTATGTGTGTGGGGGGAATGAGTATGGTCGTGGTCATGGGTATGTGTATGGGGATGATTGCGAGCATGGGTATGGTCGTGAGTGTGAGGGTGGTCGTGAGTGTGAGGGTGGTCGTGAGTGTGAGGGTGGTCGTGAGTGTGAGGGTGGTCGTGAGTGTGAGGGTGGTCGTGAGTGTGAGGGTGGTCGTGAGTGTGAGGGTGGTCGTGAGTGTGAGGACGGTCATGAGTGTGACTATGCCGAATGGCGTGTGGGTGCGAGTCCGAGTCATCAACGTCCCGTTTCTCAATAATCGTGCGACCGTGGAAACCCTCGCCTTCTGCCTCCTGCTGACCCACTCCCCCTCCGACAATCTCCTGCTTATGGCCCCTCACATTCACTCGCTTATGTCGATCCGCCTTCCCAGAAGTCGCGTGCTTGTAACGGCTGTGGTAGGATATCCCTAGTCGAACGCCCCCCTTATAGTCACTATATATGCCCGAAATTCTGGGATCAATTGGCACAGGATTGAACCTAGAAACGGTTCTCGACAGGTCCGCGTACATCCGCGAGTCGCCAGGTAACCCTAACGGCTTTCGCGTCCAGCTAACCGTCCCACGAATGCGTCCGAGGGTGGTACATGCGTATTCGTGCTCCCAGAGCATTTCCGCGTGCATCCGCGTATCACGTAGAGCCTTCCCGTCGCAATGACGCCAGCACGGTAGCGCGGCGGACGCCATTCCCAACTGCTAAAGTCTCGCGGGAGAACGGAACGCATCCAGTCTGGAACGAGTGATAGTGTACTGTAGTGAAACTTAGGAGAAGAGGAGAAGTGTCATTGTATTCAGTAGGCGGGGCTGTAGGCAGGCGCAGGGCTGTGCGCGTAGATCCCAGGGCAGAGGAGACACTCGATGAGAAAAGCGACAGATCGACAGAATTTCCGGCAATATGGCGCAACATCGGCAAATGTCAATTTCGAGGATAAATACACCGCAGCTGTTATCCCAGCTACTTAGTTCATCTTTGCCTGTTCTTAGTTTGTTACACTTTTCCACAACTTGATTGCTTCAATTTCAAGGATCTCCCTCTTAAAACCATATAAAACATGGTCATTTACACAAGTCCTCTTACATCCCCGCTAACTACCCCATATGTCATCCCCCCTAATCCACCCAGCCCCATATGCCGCATGAAATCAGCTGTTTATGCCTCAAGGAACCTTCAAGAGACTATAGGGCAATGCATCCATCGCGGACCTGGCTAGCCACTCTCTTAGTAAGTCTTGCGGTGGGGAGGAGGGGGACCAGCTGCCCTGGCAGCACGGCAGCAGGAGGAGGTGGTGGGGGGGTTCGGTCCAGTCGTGAAGACAACGCAGCGGCGGGCCTCGGGGTAAGTGGGGTTGTTGTCGCCAGGGTTGATGTTGAGCACAGTTCCGCCCTGCGGGATCTGCGCCGTCAGGATTGGCAGACGCACCCACCTGTTCTGGAAAAACGCCATCGCTTGCTGTAGAGGGTGAGAGGGGGGAGCAAAAACAAAGGGAGAGCAGGGAGACTGGAGGACAGAGGCAGACACGAGAAGTAAGGGCCTTAGGACAGCAGCAGGGAGTGGTGGGGGTTTCGGTCCGGTTGTGAAGACAGTGCAGCGGCGGGCCTCGGGGAACATGGGGTTGTTATCGCCAGGGTTGATGTTGAGCACAGTGCCTCCCTGGGGGATCTGCACTGTCGGAATGGGCAGATGCACCCACCTGATCTGAACGAACGCCGCTGCTTGCTGAAGAGGAGAACACGGGGCACAAGGAATCATCAGCCGAGGAAGAAGACTCGTCATACATGCAGTACAAAGCTTCCTGACCAAAAGCTTTCATTGCCAAAGCAAGAAGACCAACCTGGCTGAACGAACTAACAACGACCCATGCTGTTGGATTCTGAGTTGATTTAGAACTGGTTACCAGCATCGCAGGGGCCGGTGAGAGCACAGCTGAGGCGAGCATCTCACCTGGCTGAACGAGCGCACGAAGACGCGTGAGCTGTTGCCTTCTGAGGTGATGTAGAACTGGTTACCAGCATCGCACGGGCCGGTGAGCGCAGTGGTGCAGTAGAAGCCAGCGATGCCGGTGCTCGATATAGTCACAGCCGAACCCTCCTTCACTAGCACTGGCGGACTTATGGGAAAGTCGCCCGCCGTGGCGTTGGGAGGCACGATGCTGATATGAGGGGGGTGCGGGGGGGGAGGGAGGTTGACCCGAAAGGGGGTTAGAGAAAATCAACGCAAAAAAAGAAGAAAAAGCAGCAGAAATATTTGGTGATCCTGCTAAGGGAGAAATAGAGCTTGGAAAAGCCAGCAGGGCACTACAACGAGGACACCGCACATTCCAGAGGGTTTTTAATACTAAATTGAAGGCAAGCAGGAATAATGATCTGAAGTCAATGTCAGCGCAGAAAACAGAGATAGTCGGCCTTCTAATGGATGTGCTGCGGGGTATGATTCAATAAGCAGAATGGAATTCAAACAACGCTCACTCGAAGGTGGGCATGGTGTCAGGGAAGCCTTCAAACGCGAAGTCGCAGGCGTCCAGCGGCCCGCTTGGCCCCACCTGGCACTGCACAGGGCATGTCGGCTGCCCCACCTGCTGGAGCCCACGCCTGTTAGGAATACCGGATATCCCAGCGCCACTGGCGCTCCCTGATCCTACGATCAGGGGGAGAAGAGCGACGAGGACGGCAGCCATGAGTGTCATGGCGGAAAGATTTAAGAAAACGGTTGGGATTGGCGAGCGAGGATGCAAGGGTGTCGAAAATGGGGGATGAAACGCTGAATATTTGAGCAAAGGCCCCAGAAGACGACGTGGAAAAGGCGCGCATACCGCGAAAGAGGGAAACTCAAGGCTCTGGCGGCTCTCGTGGCGCTTCTCCTCGCCACAACTGGCTGCTATGGCTGAGGAACTTGGCGCCGGAATGAGGCATTTGGCGAGGAACAAGTGTCGCCCAGCAGCGAATCCAGTCTGGATGTCTGGTTGGAAATTTGAGGTTCATCCTCGGGTCGCACATTTGCACATTTGACGCCGAGCCGCATGCTCCAGCAACGAGGAAGACAGCCGTCGAAGGACTTTCGTGTGTACAGATTTTTGTGACGAAATGGGTGTGATAGCACTGTAGTTGCAAGCGAGGAACTTCCGAGTCGACACGAAATCTACAGCGCGTATAGCGTGTGAAGGCCAACACAGTGCGAACACCCTCACTTCCGTTTGCGAAACATTTCATACTTTCGTTAGGGCCCAGAACCGCCGTGTTACTAATCGTTACGAGAAACCTGAGATTGCTTATGATGTCCGACCTCGTGCGGGTATACTGGAGCTGCTAAATCGTGATGTAGTTCCTCCTTTTAGCGAGTACAGAATTACCCTCTTCGTCTCCTCCTTTCTCCTGCTCCCTCCACTCCGCTCTCCCTCCCCCCCCTCCCGCCCCAACTCTCCGCTAACCCTAAAATCTCCACTCCTATTTTCTTCTTTCTCCTTTCCCGCGTAGTCTCTTCCCTTATCTTCCTCCTCCCCACCCCGCACGACACCATGGTGAGCATTAGCGGCAGAGGGTGGTGTAACTCGTTCGTGAGACTCCTTTAACTCGCGTGTTTCAGCTCGTTGGACGCGTCTGGCGAAGTGCCACCAGGGATAGAGAGTGATGGTTTTGAGAGAAACTTCGGGACTTCCGCACTTGGTTGATCTTTCTTTAAGCGTAGCTTTTGGCTTCTGCTCTTTGCTCCAGATCGCCGTCTTATTCTTATTAATGCGTCCTTCCTCGTGTCATCGCGTGTGCTCCCGTACGTCCCTCGTGTCTTTGGCAGGTGAAGTACGCGAGGGAACCCGCCAACGCCACAAAGTGTATGTTTCACTTCAGTTTGCAGCTGAGTATGAAACGTATCTATCCGTACAGATTTTCTGAGATCCGATTACTGGTCTTCGCACCACATTAATTCCGGAATACTCGCGTTTTACGATTAGTGGACTGTCCGATGAGTTTTTTCGCGCTTTTCGTGTAGCATTCTGCAGCCTCGTCAGCATTTCGGCTAGATCAACCAGCGCGCGACATACGAACGTGTCCTCTCTGGCCTATCTTCAGGTTTTTCTGACTGCAGGAATTCGCAGGCGCTGTTAGGATCTAAGCAGACGATCGTTCTTATTGCTTCGATGCTTGCATCATGCCAGTTGCTCTAGAATCAGCATTTCGAAACCGGTCGCTAGGGTATTTACAGGCCCAAGTTACCTCAGGTTGAACGGAGTGGTTGATCCCTCCTCCTCCCTCTCCTCCTCCTTCTCCCTCTCCTCCTCCTTCTCCCTCTCCTCCTCCTTCTCCCTCTCCTCCTCCTTCTCCCTCTCCTCCTCCTTCTCCCTCTCCTCCTCCTTCTCCCTCTCCTCCTCCTTCTCCCTCTCCTCCTCCTTCTCCCTCTCCTCCTCCTTCTCCCTCTCCTCCTCCTTCTCCCTCTCCTCCTCCTTCTCCCTCTCCTCCTCCTTCTCCCTCTCCTCCTCCTTCTCCCTCTCCTCCTTCTCCCTCTCCTCCTCCTTCTCCCTCTCCTCCTCCTTCTCCCTCTCCTCCTCCTTCTCCCTCTCCTCCTCCTTCTCCCTCTCCTCCTCCTTCTCCCTCTCCTCCTCCTTCTCCCTCTCCTCCTCCTTCTCCCTCTCCTCCTCCTTCTCCTCCCTCTCCTCCTCCTCCTTCTCCCTCTCCTCCTCCTTCTCCCTCTCCTCCTCCTTCTCCCTCTCCTCCTCCTTCTCCCTCTCCTCCTCCTTCTCCCTCTCCTCCTCCTTCTCCCTCTCCTCCTCCTTCTCCCTCTCCTCCTCCTTCTCCCTCTCCTCCTCCTTCTCCCTCTCCTCCTCCTTCTCCCTCTCCTCCTCCTTCTCCCTCTCCTCCTCCTTCTCCCTCTCCTCCTCCTTCTCCCTCTCCTCCTCCTTCTCCCTCTCCTCCTCCTTCTCCCTCTCCTCCTCCTCCCTCTCCTCCTCCTTCTCCCTCTCCTCCTCCTTCTCCCTCTCCTCCTCCTTCTCCCTCTCCTCCTCCTTCTCCCTCTCCTCCTCCTTCTCCCTCTCCTCCTCCTCCCTCTCCTCCTTCTCCCTCTCCTCCTCCTTCTCCCTCTCCTCCTCCTTCTCCCTCTCCTCCTCCTTCTCCCTCTCCTCCTTCTCCCTCTCCTCCTCCTTCTCCCTCTCCTCCTCCTTCTCCCTCTCCTCCTCCTTCTCCCTCTCCTCCTCCTTCTCCCTCTCCTCCTCCTTCTCCCTCTCCTCCTCCTCCCTCTCCTCCTCCTTCTCCCTCTCCTCCTCCTTCTCCCTCTCCTCCTCCTTCTCCCTCTCCTCCTCCTTCTCCCTCTCCTCCTCCTTCTCCCTCTCCTCCTCCTTCTCCCTCTCCTCCTCCTCTCCTCCTCCTTCTCCCTCTCCTCCTCCTTCTCCCTCTCCTCCTCCTTCTCCCTCTCCTCCTCCTTCTCCCTCTCCTCCTCCTTCTCCCTCTCCTCCCTCCTCCCTCTCTCCTCCTTCTCCCTCTCCTCCTCCTTCTCCCTCTCCTCCTCCTCTCCCTCTCCTCCTCCTTCTCCCTCTCCTCCTCCCTCCCTCTCCTCCTTCTCCCTCTCCTCCTCCTTCTCCCTCTCCTCCTCCTCCTTCTCCCTCTCCTCCTCCTTCTCCCTCTCCCTCCTCCTCCTTCTCCCTCTCCTCCTCCTTCTCCCTCTCCTCCTCCTTCTCCCTCTCCTCCTCCTCCCTCTCCTCCTCCTTCTCCCTCCCTCCTCCTTCTCCCTCTCCTCCTCCTTCTCCCTCTCCTCCTCCTTCTCCCTCTCCTCCTCCTCCCCTCTCCTCCTCCTCCCTCTCCTCCTCCTCCCTCTCCTCCTCCTTCTCCCTCTCCTCCTCCTTCTCCCTCTCCTCCTCCTTCTCCCTCTCCTCCTCCTTCTCCCTCTCCTCCTCCTTCTCCCTCTCCTCCTCCTTCTCCCTCTCCTCCTCCTTCTCCCTCTCCTCCTCCTTCTCCCTCTCCTCCTCCTTCTCCCTCTCCTCCTCCTTCTCCCTCTCCTCCTTCTCCCTCTCCTCCTCCTCCCTCTCCTCCTTCTCCCTCTCCTCCTCCTCCCTCTCCTCCTCCTTCTCCCTCTCCTCCTCCTCCCTCTCCTCCTTCTCCCTCTCCTCCTTCTCCCTCTCCTCCTCCTCCTGTTCCCCCTTCGCCTTCCCCTGCTCTGCGCTGCTGATCGCGCATGCCACTGCGGTGGGCAGCATGCGACGAGGGTCGTCACCCGAGTGTTAACTTGTAGCGCCGCCTGCAATAAGTGTCATGCCTTGCGCCCCTCATGGTGAAATAGCGCCGCAGCGTGCTCGTTTTCTTCCCTTTCCCCATTCCCCCTCTCCCCCATTCCCGCTCTCCCCCATTCCCCCTCTCCCCCTCTCCCCCTCCTCCCCCTACCCCTTCCGCCATCCCCCACCCCACCCCTCACCCCCGCCATCCTCCCTCTCCTTCGCTTGCGTTCCGCGCCTAACATGACACTACTCTCTCCTGTTCCTTCTCCCGTTTCCCCGCCCTCCCTGCACTCGCGTCTCTTTGCTTGCCTTGCTGCAGCATGCAAGGCGAGAGGGTCATACTTCCGCGTCCACTTTAAGGTGAGGACCACTTTCTCGTGTGAAGCATTGTTCCATTTGCGTATGAGGAACCAAAACACCAGTGGCGGCATGCACGACCAGAGAGGGTCACACTTCCGCGTCCACTTAAGGAACGAACCCCTCCCTCCTCTCTCTCCCCCCCCGCCCCCCTCGCCTTCCATGTTGCGCCTTTCGTGCCACAAAATCACGTTTCTGTTATATGCCCCCTCCCCCTTCCCGCCCATCCCCGCCCATCCCCCCCCATCCCCCCCGCCCCGCCCCCCCTCCCCCCTCCCCGACCCCTCCCCCGTTTATGGTCCTCCTTCCATGCTACAGCGCCACCACCACCCCCCGGTCCCCACGTCCCACTCCACCCGTCCCCCTCCGCCGCGCCTTCGCCTCTCCCGCGCGTTGCCTTCCGCTAATTTCTCTCCCCGTGTGACAGATAGTCCCCCCTTATCCCTTCCTGCCTGCTACTTCTCCCCCTCCTCCGCACAACACGCGCGAGGCAGCGCAGGCCATCAAGCGCATGGCCCTCACCAAGGCCAACGACCCCTCCCCCGCACTCACCCCCCCGCCTCTTTTCCCCGACCATCCTCTTTCCGCCCTCCCCTTCTAGAACACGCGCGAGACAGCCCAGGCGATCAAGCACATGGCCCTCACCAAGGTTAATGACCCCTCCGCCCCTTCGCCCGCCCTCCCTCCACTCTCCCCCCTCCCCCCCCCCCTCCCCCTCTTCTGTCCCCCTGCAGAACACGCGCGAGGCAGCGCAGGCCGTCAAGCACATGGCTCTCACCAACGCTCGTAGTCCCACTGTGCCTCCTCCCCTGTTGCTCCCGTCCGATACCTGCCCCCCTCCCTCCCCCTTCCAGAACACGCGCGAGACAGCCCAGGCCATCAAGCACATGGACCTCACCAAGGCGAAGCGCTTCCTGGAGGACGTCATCGCGCACAAGCAGGCCGTGCCCTTCCGCCGCTTCTGCGGGGGCGTCGGCCGTACTGCGCAGGTGAGATAGCTGCACGCCGCACGGCCTGCTCTGGTATGGGTGTGGTGAGGGGTGTGTGGGGTGCGGGTGCGGGGTGCGGGATGGGGGGTGGGGGGTGCTGCAGGGTGTGGGGTGTGGGATGGGGGGTGTGCAGTGAGGGATGAGGGGTGAGGAGTGAGTTGTGAGGGTGAGGTGTGTGGGGTGTGGGGTGTGGGGTGAGGGATGTGGGGTGAGGAGTGAGGCCGCGGAGTTTTGGATGAGGGATGTGGGGTGAGGGGTGAGGCTGTTGGCTGCGCATCGGTTGACTCATAAGCAGGCCGTGCCCTTCCGCCGCTTCTGCGGCGGCGTGGGGCTTACCGCGCAGGTTAGGGGTGCGGGGCGAAAGGTGCTGTGGAGAATAAAGGTTACGGCTGGGCACCATCTGTCGAGAATAGAGGATGCCTCCTTCTGAGGCGCCTCAAAACGATACCTCCTTCCGCGCCTAAGTGCTTCCTCAATTCTCCAAAACATTTTTTTTTTCCTCACTCTGCTGCCCGGTGCAGGTGAAGCTGGTGCACACCAACGGCCAAGGCCGGTGGCCCGCCAAGTCCGCGCGCTTCCTGCTGGATCTGCTCAAGAACGCGGAGAGCAACGCCGAGGTAAGGGAGCGGGCACTTTGTTAAGCGTTAAGCGTGTACTAGGTGTGTTACGTGTGGGAGGGGTAGCCGGCGGCGCGCTTCCTGCTGGACCTGCTCCAGAACGCGGAGAGCAACGCCGAGGTCCGTGAGACGGGTTAATTAGGCGAGATCACGGGCTGTGACGCGTGCACGGGTGCACGCTGGTGGACAAGGTTTCCCGCAAGGCTACTAGCGTGGCGTGGTGCAGTGCTGCTGTGGCAACCACGTGGTAGTCGCGTGGCGGAAGCGGAAGCGGGAGCGGGAGCGGGAGCAGAAGCAGAAGCGGAAGAGAGAGAAAGGGGAAATGGAAGTGGGAGTGGGAGTGGGAGTGGGAGTGGGAGTGGGAGTGGGAGTGGGAGTGGGAGTGGGAGTGGGAGTGGGAGTGGGAGTGGGAGTGGGGGCAGGGGCATTGGGAGTAGGGGATTGATAGGCGGCACGCAAGGGACGGGTGGAGCAAGCTGTTGGGAGGCACGGGATTCCCGTTGGGAGATCTTCTTTGTTACCACTGTGGGTGTCATAGTGCGCCGTGTGCGCTTACTGCCAGTCTATGTTGCTGTCCGTACTGTGGCCACCACTAGCACTGGAGTCCCTCTCCCCTTGCCCGTTTTTTCTCCCTATCTCGGAATTCTCCCCCAACCAACACACTCGTCCCCCCCGCCCGCTCTCTCCGGCTCCTCCTCCCCCTCCATGACACCACCGACAGGTGAAGGGTCTCGACGTGGACTCGCTCCACGTCAGCCACATCCAGGTCAACCGCGCACCCAAGCAGCGCCGCCGCACGTACCGCGCGCACGGTCGCATCAACCGTGAGTAGACCCCCGTCCTCCTGTCCTCCCGTCCTCCTGTCCTCCCGTCCTCTCGTCCTCCTGTCCTCCCGTCCTCCCGTCCTCCTGTCCTCCTGTCCTCCTGTCCTCCTGTCCTCCCGTCCTCCCGTCCTCCTGTCCTCCTGTCCTCCTGTCCTCCTGTCCTCCTGTCCTCCTGTCCTCCTGTCCTCCCGTCCTCCCGTCCTCCCGTCCTCCTGTCCTCCTGTCCTCCCGTCCTCCCGTCCTCCTGTCCTCCTGTCCTCCTGTCCTCCTGTCCTCCCGTCCTCCCGTCCTCCTGTCCTCCTGTCCTCCTGTCCTCCTGTCCTCCTGTCCTCCTGTCCTCCTGTCCTCCCGTCCTCCCGTCCTCCCGTCCTCCTGTCCTCCTGTCCTCCCGTCCTCCCGTCCTCCCGTCCTCCTGTCCTCCTGTCCTCCCGTCCTCTCGTCCTCCCGTCCCCACCTCTCCTCCCCCCGCTTCCCCGAGCTTCCTCCTCTCCGGTATCACGCCTGCACGTACCGCACTCACGGTCGCATCAACCGTGAATAGCGCCGCCTCCCTTCCCCTAGCCCCGCTCGCTTTGCCCCAAGGCCGCCTCCCAGCTGTACCGGACGCACGGTCCCATCAGCCATTAGTAGCGCTTTCTGCCCTTCCCTCAACCCTCCTCTTCCTCTTCCCAGGCCCCATTCTGCCCCCCCCCCTCCAACACCCAACGCCCGCACCCTCCCCACCCTCGCTTTTCCTTGATTTCCGCCCTTCGAAGGCCATGTGCATCCTTCACGCCAACCCCTTTTCTGACCGAGCCGAGTCAAGCCACCTGAAAGCTACTCTCACCTTAAGCCTGCTCTTCCTCTCGTCTCTCCCGTTGCTCGCCCTTTGGTACTGTGCAGCCTACATGTCGTCCCCGTCCCACATCGAGCTGATTCTCTCAGAGAAGGAGGCGGAGGTCAGGAAAGAGGTGAGATACATGTCTTCTGTTGGGCAAGGATGGAGGTAGAATCTCGACTTAATTTTGCAAGGGGGGGAGGGGTGGGAACCTGTCAGTGAAGGATGGAAAGGGTAAGCCAGGTAAAGGGGGGGGGGGAGTATTGGACGAAAATTGAATATTGCTTGTGCAAGTGTTCATTTCTCATGTGGCTGCATTATTTTCTCTGAACCTTATTTTCTTTGGTTGTGACAGGCGGAGGAGGGTAGCCACAAGACCAAGAAGCAGAGCAGGCTTGCCAACTGAAGGCGTGACTAGATGTGGCTGGCATATGCCGTAGATTGCCTTAATTGCACCAAGTGTACGGTAGCTGTGGGGTCATGTGCCGCTGTTTGCTGTTTGATTCGTTGGAAGAAAAAGCCTTGCCTAATCTAAATTTACCTAGGAAGTGGTAAATGTGTGAATGCAACTGTTTGGCGGTACATGTTATGAACGAACAAAAAGGAACGAATCGTCGTATAGTGGGTGCCTTGGCGTTCCCAGGTCGTGCCTGTCTCCACACTGCCCAAAAAAGTAGAGGCTGGGTAGAATTGAATGGTTTGTGTTGGCTTGGGAGCATCCGCCAATGAGGAGAACATGTCACCCACCTCCACAACAGTCCCACGCTTGGCGCAAGGGTTGCGCAGGGAAACACTGAAAGGTGCAATGAAAATCCGCGCGTCGGGCGGCAGGAAAACAATTCACTGGAGCCAAGCGGGTCCCTTCCCACTCGATTTGCGCCCACAGAAACAAGCACACACGCCCCTTCCGCTTTTTGCCAGCTCACACTTATCAGGGATCAAGCAGCTATAGCCAGAATTTACGAGATTATGTTTGGGAGACTTGAATGGGTCAGGGTGTTGTCGAACCAAAAGACGAGGGTTCGCTACGCGACAACAACACGGCCATCGTTCTCGTCCACACAAATACCGGTCAGAAAATAGGGGCAAAATAGGCTACGCCGGGTTTCCTTCCCTTCCCCCATCTCCCTCATTGTCACACTCGTCGATAATACTGTATGCCTCAGAAGCTACGTGTAGCCTTTCAGCCAGGAAAGAAAAAAATGCCCCTGTGAAGCCCCCCTGAGTCGTCTCGTCTCACTCTGTTACTGCTGGATGATTCAGCAGAGAAATGCAGCACAGTGGACTTGCACATCCGCGTTGGAAAGCAAACCTGATGCCCAGCCGCCACGGCCAGGCAGCCATTCATGGCGAAATTGACAGCAGCCATAGCTTTCGTAGCGGTCCCACGAACACAATCCATCCGCGGTCTCGTTGACCACCTCGGACTTTTGAACAGCCGCGGCGCGAATGCGTCATGGAGGACGAAGCCAGAGTAGGGAGGGTGTACATATTGTCCTGTGCTGCAGTGTTGTTGAAGCCAACCAAAACATTGCCTCATGCAGTGCGCAGTACACAAGCCGACTCTCGCAAACCTGTTTTCACAACCCTTTTTTTTTTCTTCGTCTTCATTCGCATACTTCCGAAGCCATGGCGGCGAAATCTCTTCCCGCTCTGCTGCTCGTCCTCGTCCTCACAAGCAGCTCAGCATTCCTGAGCCGCGCACGCCGGCTGCCCTCCGTGCAGAACGACCAGGAAGGAACGACGGACGTAGATCCTGCACCAGCGGCAAGTGTTACTCCGCATGTGAGCGCTGCGCCTGCCGCCAATCGCGGCGGCAATGTCGCAAAATGCGTCGCGGCGGGGTTGAGCGAGCTCTCCAGCTTCCACGGCGCGTCTAGTCGTGGCGTTTTCTCAACGCGAAGCATCTTAATGGCGCCCGGAGCGGACGAGTGCATTGCCTTCTCGCCTCAAGACAAAGCGGACTCCCTAAAACGCCTCAGCGACTCGATCCCTAGTCCGAGGTTTGCCGTCGAGTCGCTCACCTCGTATCGCCTCCTGAACAGCATCTACAAACCCGCAAATCACGCTCTGGTCGCCATCGGCTCTGTCCAGCCCTCCGCGCCTGGCGTTGTATCTGGAAGTGACAAAATCGGGGGGAGGTTCCTCACTTTTTGGGACCAGATTTGGCCGGCAGAGGATGCGTATAACGGGGATTGCTCCAAATGGGGTCTCAGCTGGCTGATGTGGCAAACACGCGACGTTAGTCCCATCGCGAAAAGAGTTCCGTTCACTGCGAACATTTTGGCAGATTCCTCCGTCTCTCCTGACGTCGGAACCTCAGCGTCGGCGTCAGGACAACCTGCAGCAGAAGCGGCGGACGACACTCCGGAGGTTCTCAGAATGGACGACGACTTCGGACACCTGGATGACGTCAAATCGGCGCAGAACAGCAACGAGGAAGCCACTAACGGGGACTCCGAGGCGCAGCGCGAGAAGCCAGCGTCAGAGTCGTTAAAGGAGAAGGTGACTCCGGGTGAAGGGGAGGAGCTGCAGCAACTGGACGTCATTTTCAACGTCCAGACGGCGTGGAGCGCGTTCGTGTCGGCTCTCGCGGCTGATGATTTGGCGTCGGCCTCGTCGACTCTGTTCGGTCCTGACGCCGTGACGCTCATGGCTCCTGGTGCTGACAGCGTGACTCTCGCGACGGAACAAGAGAAAATGGACCTGCTCAAGGTAAGCCCACTCTCCCATGGAACTGTTGCGTCATCTTATAAATCGTCACTGGAAATTCACTACAAAAAGGCACGCCGAGGGTCAGGGTTCGGTTATTTCCCTGGAGCAATCCTGACAAATCGTCGTACGAATTCCAATTTTGGCCGTGCAGGAATTGAAGGCATCACACCTATCCCTGTCGGTGATGGTGGAAGAAGTCGCGCTGCTGCAAGAAAGCGAATCTACGCGGAATTCTGGATTGAAATATGGTGCACTCGTGCGATCGACATACAGCATCGCTGATGCCCAAGGTGAATGATTACGCATTCTCAACCCGCACCGTCGGTCAACTATTTCCGTCGCTCCAACTATGAATTCTCAGGTTCATGCCATTTCCTGACCCTAGCTGTTGCACCTTGTTTCCGGATTCACCGCTGGGCCCATGCAGGTGTAGATGTGGAGCACGGAAAGAGAGTGGAACTATGGCGGCCTAGTACTAACGGGGGAGGGTGGCACCTGTCTTGGTCTATGTGGAACGATAACGGCCATGTGCTGACAAGGGAGGAGGTCATGGCTGCCTATGAGAACGATAAGTTCGCTCCACACGATCACCAAGAAGTGTTCTCTAATCTGTAGCTACTTAGAAGATGCTTCTAATGGTTGAAATCCAATAAATATTGTTATGAATTATAACTCATAATAATTCATAACAATATTATAAATATGCAAAGATCCTTGGTTAAGTCTTGAAGTATCGCAAGGCTGTAACACTAACTCTGGTGTTACAACTTGATAATACTGGCTGTTATTGGAGGTACTTTTAGTATTACTTTCTATTTCAAGTACTTGTGTCTGCAGATTCTATACTTCGTATCATGCACCACCTTTCAATTTCTTTCATGGTAAAAGAGCTGTCTGGAATTAATGTCAACTTATACATATTATCTATGTAGAAGTTATAGGCTAGACTGAGGTATGCTTCTAGTGAGTACAACCAACTAGTATTTGTTCTAGGTTTCCACCTCTAGTAATCATTCGTTTCTACGTTAACATGGTATCACGCTTAGGTTAGGATCCCCCCGCCTACCGCTTCCGCCCGTCGCGCCTCCTAGGCCCCGTCCCTCCCTAGGCCCCGTCGCGCCCCCCCCTGGGCCCCGTCGCGCTCGTTAGGCCCCGTCGCGCCCCCCCTGGGCCCCGTCGTGCCCGCTGGGCCCCGTCGCGCCTCCTAGGCCCCGTCGCGCTCCCCCTGGGCCCCGTCGCGACCCCTAGGCCCTAACGCGCCCCCGCTGGGCCCCGTTGCGCCTCCTAGGCCCCGTCGCGCCCCCCATGGGCCCCGTCGAGCCCGCTGAGCCCCGTCGTGCCTCCTAGGCATCGTCGCGCCTCCTAAGCCCCGTCGCGTCCCCCCCCTCTGGGCCCCGTCGCGCCCGTTCGGCCCTGTCGCGCCCCTCCTAGGCCCCGTCGCGCCCGCTGGGCCCCTTCGCGCTTCCTAGGCCCCGTCGCGCCTGCTAGGCCCCGTCGCGCCCCCCCTGGGCCCCGTCGCGCCCGTTAGGCCCCGTCGCGGCCCCCCTGGGCCCCGTCGTGCCCGCTGGTCCCCGTCGCGCCTCCTCGGCCCCGTCGCGCCCCCCCTGGGCCCCGTCGTGCCCGCTGGGCCCCGTCGCGCCCCTTAGGCCCCGTCGCGCCCACTGGCCCCTGTCGCGCCTGCTGTTAGCGCTCGCCCGCCTGGCCTCCTCCTAGTGCCGCTCGGCCTCCTCCTAGTGCCGCCCGGTCTCCTCCTAGTGCCGCCCGGCCCCTACCTAGCGCCGCCCGGCCTCTCCTCAGCGCTGCCCGGCCCCTCCTCGTGCCCGACCGGCCCCAGCAGCACCAGCCTGGCCCCTCCCAGCACCAGCCCGGCCCCAGAGCACCTGCCCGCCTCCCCTGCTCGGCCTGCCGTGTCCTCTCGGGCCCTGTGTCTTCTGCTTGCCTGCGCTGGGACGCCTAGCTGCTGCCCTACTGGAGAGTGCTGCCGCCGTGTCCCCGCGCCGCTGTGCTCCTGTGCCGCTGAGGAGCTGTGCTGCTGTGCCGCTGTGTCGCTGAGGAGCTGTGCCGCTGACCCTGCACGATGGCTGACTTTGTGCTCCGCCTGGACGCTGAGGGCCACGCGGTTGACTTCGCCGCCTGGCTCTCCGATCTTCGCCGCCAGCTTACAGGTCAGCGCCAGGATGGCCACTCTCTGGTTGTCCATGCTGATGGCTTGCTCCCCCGTCCCCCTGCACCTACTCCCCTCCCTGCTGACCCCTCCTCTGATGACTGTGAGGCTTTCTCTACTGCTGCGCTGGCCTGTGCGGTCTGGGACTCACGCGATGCAGTAGCTCAGGTTGCTATTAGTCACGCCCTCCCTGTGTCTGAGCGCTCGCGTTTTGCTACTGTTGAAACGGCCAAAGCTTATTTAGACGCTGTTATTGCTCGCTATTCCACCCCTGCCTCCGCTTCTGCTGGCCGCTTGCTCTTTCCGATGCTGTTCCCAGACCTGGCTGCCTTCCCTACTGTCGCAGATTTTGCCACTCATTTGCGTGCCCTAGAGACTCGCTATCGCACTGCCAGCACTGCTGCCCAGCTCACTGCGCTCCCCCCTCCTTTCTGCATGACGCTCTATTTTATCGCCATGCGCCTGCCAGACCGCCTCGCTAGTGCTCGCGACCACTTTCTTAGCCAGCACCCGGGTGACCTCACCCTGACCGCCTTTGTCGACACCCTCACTGAGATCGAGACTCGCCAGCGCACTATCGCTCAGTCGAGCGGTGCGCCGGCAGTCTCTATCTTTCACGGCTGTGCCCCATCCCAGTGCACGTTCACTGACGTTTCGGCTGCGGTCGCCACGGCGACCCCTCTTACCGAGACGGCTGCTGCTGTCCACCCGCAGCAGCGCTCGCGTCGCGGTGGCCGTGGCCGCCAGGGAGGTAGGGGTGGTGACGCAGGTGGTAGTGGTCGTGGTGGTGGTGACGGTAGTCCGCCTGAGGGGACTACCACCGGTGGGCAGGAGCAGCAGCCCCAGCAGCAGCAGGACCAGCCCCAGCCGCAGCCGCCGTCCCAGCAGCACCCGCCGCAGCCGTGGGCTCGTCTCCTGCCTGGTTGGCCCGGCACCTCCGGAGGCGGTGGCCGTGGTGGCGGCCCGCGCAGCTTGGCGTCTACCAGCGGCTCCAGTGCTGTGACCTGCCAGTACCAGCTTCAGACCGGGCCTCTCCGCGGCACTCTGTGCCGCCGCCCGCACCCGACCGCCCGCTTTTTCCGCCGCCTCGACGATCTTTTTCGTCGTCGCTTTGGCCCGGCCCCGGACCTCCCTGACTGGCACAGCCTGCTCCGCCAGGGCGTGCCGATCTTTGAGTTAGACATGGATCAGATAGGTGCTGCTTTGCATGCTTTGTATGCTGACGCTTCTAGTGTTGCTGGATCTTACTACCCTGTGTACTCTAGTTTAGGTGTTTCACCCTTGTGTAGCTTAGCTTCCCCTGCTGCGACAGGCGTAGGACTGCCTAGGTTGCCTAGTCTAGCCGCTGCACCGGCTCCGTCCCCGGCCTCCGCCACTGCGTCGCTGTCCTTCACTCTCGACTCTGGTGCTTCTGCCTGCTTCTTCCGCGACCGTTCCACGCTCACGCCGCTTGCTGCACCTGCTGTTGTCTCTCTCGCTGACCCCTCTGCGGGTCCGGTCGTCGCGCGCAGTTCTACGTCCCTTCCCTGTCCGGCAGTTCCCTCGGGCTCCCTTACTGGCCTCCACGTTCCCTCGTTCTCGAGGAACCTGGTTGGTGTCGGCTGTCTCCAGGACCTCGGCGTCACCACCACGTTCCCCGGGCACGAGCGGTTCGCTGTCTGTTCTGAGGCTGTCTCAGGTTCCCCCCTTGCGACGTTCCCCCGGGACCCGGTGTCCGGTCTGTTTACCCTACACACCGCTTCCCCCCCGGTTGGTGCGTCCTCCCAGGTCGCTGCAGCTTGCTCGTGTCGGTCCCTCACTCACCCGTCCCTTCTCTGGCACCACCGCTTAGGTCACCCTGCTCTCCCGCGTCTGCGTCACATGTCCCAGCACGGTCTTGTCTTAGGTCTCCCCGCGTCGCTCCCTGCCCTTCCTCCCTCGACTGCGCCACCGTGCACGCCTTGCGTCGAGGGTCGGCTTCGCCGTGCTCCTCACTCCTCCTCGCTGCGTCCTGCTACTGCCCCCCTTCAGACCCTGCACTTGGACGTTTGGGGCCCTGCCCCCGTCCCCGGACCGCGCGGTGAGCGCTACTTCCTTGTGCTCGTCGACGACTACACGCGCTACACCACGGTGTTTCCCCTGGAGCGGAAGGCCGACGTGCCCGACGTTCTTCTCCCGTGGGTTGTGGCTGCGCGTCTCCACCGCGGTCTCCCCGTGTTGTGTCTCCACTCCGACCGTGGCGGCGAGTTCGCCTCTGGTCGGCTTGGACAGTTCTGTCGTGCGGAGGGCATCACCCAGTCGTACACGTTGCCGGACTCGCCACAGCAGAATGGGGTTGCTGAGCGCCGCATCGGCTTGGTCATGGAGGTCGCCCGTACCTCCATGATCCATGCCGATGCCCCCCATTTTCTGTGGCCGTTCGCTGTTCGCTACGCGGCTCACCAGCTTAACCTGTGGCCACGCTCCCAGCGGCCGCAGGTTTCGCCGACCCTCCTTTGGACCGGGTCCCCTGGTGACGCGTCTGCGTTCCACGTCTGGGGCTGCCTTGCTCACGTTCGTGCCTCTGGCACGGACAAGCTCACTGCCCGCACTGTCCCATGTGTCTTCCTCGGTTTCCCCCTGGACTCGTCTGACTGGCTTTTCTACCACCCGCCGTCTCACCGCTTCCTCCACTCTCGTGACGTCACCTTTGACGAGTCCGTCTCCTTCTACCGCCGCTTCCCTCACCGAGGTCTCCCAGTTGCCCCCCCCCTTTTCCTTGCTCCCTCTCCCCCGGTAGCCCCTGCCCCTCTCCCGCCTCGTCCTGCCCCGTCTGGTGTCTCCCACGTCACTCCCCTCCCGTCGGTTGTCCCCGTTGAGGAGTCTGCTGACTCTGGTGGTACCCCCGGTCCGTCCTTGCCGCGTCCCCCTTCCCCGGTGCCTCCGCCCCCGCTGCCGCCGCCGTCGCCGTCGCCGCCGCAGCCGTCGCCGCTGTCGTCGCCGCCGCCGCCGCTGTCGCTGCCGCAGCCGTCGCCGCTGTCGCCGCCGCCGCAGCCGTTGCCGCCACTGCCGCCGCTGCTCTCGGCCCCTGGGGGTGCTGGTGTGGAGGAGGGTGTTCGTCCTGCGGCTTCTGGGGGTGCCGCTGGTGTTGGAGGGGGTTCTCGCTCTGGGGGTGTTGGTTCTGGGGGTGCTGCTGTTGAGTGTTCTGCCGACGGTCGTTCTGCCTCTGCTGGTCCGAGAGTTCCGGCCCAGCCGTCGTCGCCGCCGGTTTCCGCTCTCCGCCTGCTCGGCCTTCCCTCCCCGGACCGCGCGCCGGTGTCTCCCCCACCGCCTCCTGACCTCCCTGTCTACGGTCCTGTGTTCCCGCCGCCAGACTCGTCTCCCGCCCGTCTTCCTCCTCGTTCCCCTCCTGTGTCTCCTCCGCTGTCCCCTGACCCTACCCCTCCGTCTCACGTTTGGGCTCGCCGTCCCTCCCGTGCTCGTCCCGTCTCTCCTGTCCTGCCCACCCACCCTATGTTGCTCCATTCCCACTCGTCTCGTCCTCCCCTCCTCCCGTCCCCTCCTCCCTCGTCCCTTGCTGTTGCACCTCCTCCGTTCTCTGACTACCTCCGTGCTGCTCGTCCCCTTGTCCCTCGGGTCCTTGCCTCTCTTGTTACCGACCCTGCTGTTCCTGTCTCGCGCCTTGACGCGCTTGT